CTTAAATTTAGTAATTGTAAAAATTTTTTTAAATGTAAAATATTTTTAAAAAAATTAATCCAATTATTATATTAATTAAAATTTAAATTTTTGGACTTTATTTATATTTATATATAGGAAGATATTTTGTACAGTATCTATGTACGAAAATCTTCCTTTACAGTATATAACTTGCATGTATGCATGTATAATATATGTCTATACATGGATAATTATCAGTAAATTGGCAAACTGCAGCAATTACACCACCAGAACCTGATACTGTTTGGCTCCAAGTTTTTTGCTTGTTGCCTACAATCTATAATTCAACAGTTATCCGAGCCCCTTTGTTCGGCGGGGGGTTTCTCCGGGACGACTGCCCGCTCATTGGGTGGATCCAACGCCCTGCGCCGAATCCGCAGTTGGTCGATTACATCCGGATTAAGATACGGATTCCGATTCCGCCCTGCAGGCCCCTTTGGTAGCAGGGCCGCTCTCCGGGGCATATCCCGTTCTTGAGCCGTCCTCCGGTGTCTCCTTTGGGATTTTCGCTTTATCGGCGGCCCTGGAGCCCACTGTCCCGTTGGAAGAACCCCGTCGACCACAAATAAACCAAAAATAGAAATAATATAAACATGAACGATGCACCGGACTGTGTTCTAGTCCCTGGTACGACCATCGTTTCATGTTTTGTTTGTTACACACAAACATTTCTTGCACTTCTCAACTAATTTTTCTATTCCAAAACAATGTAATCCCTTTTCAACCCCCTAAAATCTCCATTTTTATTGTAAAAATCGTCATTTAACCTTCAACAATGCAAAAGACAATAAAAAAAAGCTGAATAAAATCTTCTATTCCACACAAATATATGTATTTTTTACGTGGTAAAGAGGAAGATTGTATACAGTACCAGTAATTTATGTATTTTTCATTCATTTTCAAGACTCTTCTACAGCATCACCAGTAGAAAATATAAGTAATATATGTAAATTCCGTTAAAAAGTGACGATTTTTAAAGAAAAAAAAATACATTAAAACATTATTATTTATAAGTAGCCAAGGGTGGTTGTATGAAAGAGTGTTTGCTTTCTACTAAGAAGTCACAAATCCTGTTCCCATTTGGGATTAGCCTCACCGCTCTCAAAGGCAATTTGTCTTAAGAAATACGACTCAGATTGTTTTACAAGGTGTCCGAATGAATCGCCGACTTAAAAAAAAGCATTAATATAAAGAAATGAATACACGAAAAAGGCCAAATCACGAAAAATAAACTATAGAGGTGCTAAGAATGCAAAAAGTTTATTAGAATAATCGCTTACCTAATCGGTTTTAGGTTGAAAACGTGGACTCTTATACGTTTGCATTACGTACACCACATATCACGGGATCTGTACAATGTATAGAACTTAACTAGTATTAAATTACGAGTACTTAGTATATAATTATACTATATAAGGCTCCTAAATATGTAAGATCTTAGGCAAAAGATGGATAAAACCGCCGAACACAGTAGTTGGGCGCGGGTTCGTGCTGGAGACACGAATTTTCTAAGTTTTCTTCACGTCAACACCTAAATAGGGGCCAGTTTTCCATAGAAAATTCCCCCGGGGAAGTACCCAACTTAGAAAATCGCTCGTGTGTTGCCGTATCCCATCAAAACCAAGCAAAAGAAACCCTTAAAATCGTCACTAGATTCTACCATGTTACATTAATAATAATTAAGTTTAAAATTTAAAAACAATTACTACCTTCTAGTGTTGTTTTCTTAGGGAAAAAAAAAGTAGTAAAAATAGGTTATAATAATTAGTTGAAAGTGTTACAAATTTATTCAATAAAGATTTATTTTACTTTTTATTTTTTTTTCTTGACGTTTCTAGTCTTGGGAAGGATGCAATTCAATCCGATCTTTGTTCTGATTTCCTTACTGTAACAACAAAACGAAATTCTACACTTGACAACACATCTCTAGAGGTTTGGTAAGACGAGGAACTACAAATGTCAACAAATCCTCTTTTATCTGGTAGTGATGGGGGGAGGGTGAAGATGGAGGAAAAAGTTGATTTCTTTCAATCTCAATATTTTTAATAGATGTAAAATTCTTTTAAAATCGAATAAAACTTTAAATAATTTATCTTTCTCCAAGATTAATTTTGTATATAATCAATTCTAAATGTGAAAAATTGCCAGTAAAATACACTAGAAAATAGCTCATCTTTTAACGTTAAATTATTTACTTTAATTTAAATAAACTGTCTGGTTGTCTGTACGGAATTTTGCAGAGTTAGGATAAGAGACTAAATGACTCCTAATCTTATATATGTCTAGATTTATTCACACAGTTGGGGCCTTTGTACTAGGTCTCATTTCATCTTCGTACAAAAAGCTTATGGATGAATCTAGATATAAAGGCCCCATCTGTAAATGAAGTGTTTTTCATTAATATAAATGAAATTCCGAGCTCTTTTTTTATATTTGAGGGGCAATCTAGCTCTCTTTATCCTCATATAATTGGGCCTTCGTAAGAGTTTCTACAGTTATAGTAAACGTTGTACTAATTTCGTAAGATTCAAAATGGCGTACATTTCAATTTCTCTTGTCATAAATACAACGTAAACAACTAGGCCTACATCTTAGGGTCCGGGGTTAGGTTTAGACTCGTAGGCATAAGCTATAACAAGTCTAGGACCTTTCTCTTGATACAAATAAGAGCCCTACCATGTTGTTTTTTTTTTAAATTGATTACTATTAAAAGGGCCTCTTTTATATTATGGTTTAAGGCCATAATATAAAAGAGCCTTTATGTAAGGCCTTGATTATAAATAATAAAAATATTAAATGAATTAATTAGTTGTTTTCCTCTCAAAGTGTCATTGATTACGTCAAGATGTTTTCTGCTTTATCACAATTAAACAAAACTACAAACGATTTAATTTAAATTAAATGTAATTAAGCCAATTAATATAGAATTATTTATAATTAAGTAAAATTTTATATCATTTTAATTAATTTCAGTAAAACATTAATATTTAAATAAAGTGTTTATTGAATTTTACTTTAATCTTTGTTTTGATGAATTTATTAAAAGGATTTATTTATTTTTATTTTTCAGAGTTAATCCCCACTCGTTAATTAAATTACTAATTAATAATATAAGAAGTAAATTGATCATTTTAATTATATTTTCTCTCCTTATTAAATCATGTATGCTCTGAGCGACGCGACGCGTATCCTTCTCACTTGCTCTTTTACTCTTTATTGTGAAACAGAAAGACAATTTATACCCTTTATTATTTTAAAATAAAGAGTAAAAAAATCTAAAAGTAAATTATTATAAAAAAATTGCTTAAGATATTGGTTTTAAAGCTATGGTTACGATATTATGGTCGCTTTCGCTTGGTCGCGAGCGTCGGCGCGACGCGTTAAAATTCAATTATATCTTAAAAAAATTAAAAACAATTTCCGAATATTTCTTTCAAATTGATATATTTTATATCGAAAAGTATTGAAATATTTTAAGATATTTTACAAATCGATTCCACTTTCTTATAGATGTATCGTTTAAACGAGAAGGTTGCGCTACGCGACGTCGCTTCGCGTCGCGTAACCTTCTCGTTAAAACTCCTTTCTTTCATTATTTTGTTTCAGAATTCTTATGACATTTTAAAATTATTTTTTAAATATAATTTATTATTTGTATTTTTTCTAAATAAAAGCTTAAAAAATTTTATTTAATTATACAAGATTTTATCTTTATTAACAGAAAGAGGAAGAGAAAATTCTCATCTTCACTCCCTTCTCCCCCTCTTTGATCTCTGATTAGTCGAATTTATAGTGCCCTATCCTTTTCTAAAAGCCATCAAAATGTATGAATAAAATCAATAAAGCAAATAAAACAAAATTTTAATTAAATTTTGGGGCCTTCCTCTATGTCCGGGTCTCTATATCCTGATCCAGATACAGAGGGGAGGGGCCCTAAAATTTCCAGCGTAGATATTTTAAGTTAATAAATTAATTAGAACCTTCCATTTGTTAAATATTTTACAAGAATTTCGTCACAGTTCATCACTTCACTGCGAAACTTCTATATGTTAGTGTGAAGAATTTACAATATTTTAATAATAATTTACGTATCCAAACGGGTATATTTATTTCTACAGTGAGAAGTATCGATTACGACAGTAAATAGCACGTAAAAGGAGGGAATGTATAAGAAAATAACATGTTTATCTTTTCCTTAAATGATCCTTTCGTACACAATTAAGAACCATTACTCACAACCATTACCATTTAATCATTTTTAATGAATTAAATAAAGAAAACTTAAATCCACTCATTTACTTATCTGTTCAAACAAGGTTTTCGGATATAAATTTTCCAGATAAGATCAAAAGTAATCAAGAATCTTACTTCAAAAGACATCATTTCTTTAATGAAAACATCACTCTACCCCTCTCTTCACAGTCCAATACACTTTACAAAAATTTGATTTTAAAAATATATATATATATATACTGTATTTTTTATTTTTTAAATTAAATTAAATTTAATTTTTATATATATATAACTAATACACGTGAAGTATGTTTGATCTCTTATTAGCGTAAAATTCTCGAGGGAGATTGATAGAAACGTGATAAATTTATTCAACCGATGGGAATTGCATTCAAGCTTACATATTGACATAGGATAGACGACCAAGTTCCTATTGGTAGATGATATGAAAAGATTTGCTATGCTTTGTATCAATAATAGCACACCATTTGAGTTTAAAGCGCGATTTGTATTATACAATTTTTTTTTAAATGGATATTCAATATTTTTCTAAACTTTAAACTGTTTACTCGATTTATTAAAGTGATAATTCTGTTTTAAATTAATTCATTCTTTTAATAATAGAGAAGATTGCGGCCGAAGTTTTCATTTCTAAAACGTGAACGTCGAACGTCGAACGTGAACGTGAACGTCGAACGTCGAGCGCCGCTTAATTAAGAAAGCGGCGCTCGACGTTCGACGTTCACGTTTTAGAAATGAAAACTTCGGCCGCAATCTTCGCTATTAATTAACTGATTTATAATTGAATGTATGCTTTTTTATTATTATTAATTCTTGCTTAATTAATGTATCTTCTGAGTGACAAATTTCTATAGAATATCATTTGATTATACATTTAATTTTACACGGTTTTAATTCAAATATATATATATACAATTTTACAAAATTAAAAATAATATTTAAGCGGTATATTTAAAAATTAATCTAAACGTAATCTATTTAAGAAAATGCCGCCTATTCTTAAAAGTTAAAACATCGTTATCTCATACGAACCAAGGAGATTTCTTTAAACAAATATTTGTATTAACGATCGAGTGTTAAATAAATAATATTAAAAACGAAAAAATATATATATTTATATAATATTAAGTTATTACAAAAATATTTAGTTAAGGATTTAAAACGAAATTTTACATTATATTTTTACTATTTATTCATCTCTTCTTCGCATATTAAGTACCTAATTCTTATAATGTTTTCATTCGAAACACTTAGAAATTCAAACAGAAAAAGAAAAAAATAATTATACATAATCTGAAGAAGATTTTTAAATTCCTGTAGCAAATTACCGAATTTTTATTACTCATTTTTTTTTTTTTTTTAATTTAACTGAAGGAAAGTGGAGGAAGGAGAAGAAGAAGAAGAAGAAGAAGAAGAAGAAGAAGAAGAAGGAAAAAAAATAAAGACGAAGAGACTATTAGAAAGCGGCATTAACATTAGAGAGATTTGTAAATAAGATTTAAATAGAAGAAACAAAATTATATGTTGGAATAAAAGAAGATGTTTTAAAGATTTATTTTTCTCTTGTCGACTTTTATCTCTGTTTTCGGTAGAAGAATCCACTCTTGTAATGTTTGTTTCGGTAAAAGAAGTAACCAAAGACGATAACAAACCACTGATTACCTGTCAAGTCTCAACGATTTTGGAATGCTCCTGTTTAGAAGTGGAATTACTGTCAGATATCACAAGTACTTAGATCAACAGTGAGTTAGACTCTGTTAGTTTTGTCGTAAGCTCTACCGTATAAAGACATATTTACTGATTAGATAAATATTGTTTAAGTTGAAAAATTTACTCTCTGTATATTTTATATTATTCGAAAATATATTCTAATGTTAATAATACCTTTCTCTTTATTTTTCTTAAATGGCTTTCTACTTTGGACGTCGAGTCGCCGTTATCGTATGAAACTGGTCTTGCTGATTTGACATTGATAAATTATAATAATGTCATCGAATTTTGTCACGAAATAATTCTTCTAATAAGTGAAATTACAAGCCAATAACTAAATAATATTAAATTCTAAATAATTATATTTTTTATTGACTATTTTTCTACTTTGTAATGTACTTGTACAGACCCTTCGAATACACTTTTACACCTTAAAAAAAAAAAAGCTTTTAATTAATATTTAAAAATTTAATTAGCAATTTAATAAAATATTTAATGTATTTATTATATTTTTTTTTAATTAAAATATATATTTTTAAATTGATAATCTTTATTGTATTGCCTACTCTAACGTATCTCTTTGATCAAAGCGATGTCAATTCATATAATTAGTTTGATTTAATATAAATTTAATTAATACTTACGTCGTATAAATATAATTAAGTTTAATTTAAAATGTATACATTAAATATATTTTTTTAATTATTAAAAAAATATAAGCAANTATGTCTGTTATTTCTGTAATAAAAGCTTCTACAACAAAGGGCAATTGAAAGGGCACTTCAGGATTCATACAGGTATGTAAATACTTTCAACTAATGCTTTATAGTTATCAATATTTAGATTTATATAGGGCCTATATATATATATATATGAGAGAGAGAGAGAGGGAGAAACACAGGTTTAAATATTTAAGTGCAGCAACCCACTCAAATTTTTTTCGATACTTGTATGCGTTATCGATAGAAAAAATCTCTTAAAGCTGAATTGAAAGTATATATTGATATACGAGCATTAAATTTTTGATATAATCTTCCCTTCTTATGTATTATCGTAACGAAAGAACATCCCTTATTTAAATCACGTGATTAAGAAATAGTAAAAATCGCTAGATTTGCCTCAAATCAAACCATTAAATAACCGCTTAATGTCAAAGTCATCACGCCTATCGGCGATACGTCACCTAATCCTGTCATGTTACGCCCTGACAGGATATTTATCAAGAGAATATATCGTAAAAATCTTCCATAACCTGTCCTATGAGAGGTCGTTTACCAATTGGAACAATTCTTTAGCATGCTGAGATTTTTTTTCTTCATTTTTTTTGCTCGCTTCTCTCTTTCTCTCTCTCTGTTCCTTTTTTCCTATCAGCGATATGAAGACGTGATGTTCGAGATGACGTTTATTTACAGGATACGCCATTGGTTGCTTCTTAGCGAATCCTGGGATACTACACGAATGATTGTAGGAGTTTTTAGTCAACAAATAGTTCATAAATCTATCAAGTGTGAGACAGGTAAGATTTATATGTCTAGTTTTTAAAAATCTAAAAAGAGATATTGTCGTTGCCATTAACTAATTGTCACCTTTACGACTAACTTTGTCGATTTATATAGTTTAATATTATCTAAAAATCCTTAAAAATTTATCAATTATTTATTTAATTTTTGACCCGTTTAGAAATGCTATAATAGTTTTTATTGTGTTACAAAACTAGAGACTTATTATATTTTCTTCTATTCTTCTATCGAACCCACCTGTTCAAACTTAACCCGGATTATCTCTTAAGTATCGGTTAATCTTATACTCTTAAACTTATATAAAGCTATAAAAGTATAAAATAAATATAGCAGAAGCTCTAATATATATTTATTTATACATAAAAATATATTACAATGCTCTTGTTTATATTTAGAATCTATACTTTGGTTTACTTTACAATGGTCTACCACAGAACCGTAAATCTTGGTTAGTATGGCACGTTATGTGTTAAGCTCCGTAAAGCCAAAAACAATACTTTAGAATGATCCCATTTTACGATTAGGATCATTACAGTGCTTCGTAGTAGCTATTATGGGATGTTATTTTTTTATATCTTCAATATCTTAGTATTAGAATTGCTGTAGTATCTTTCAGTAATACATAAGAATTGATATCATGGCTATAAATGTAAATAATTATAAGAAAATTGTACTTATTATTATAGTAGTAATGCTTAAGAATGTCTTCTATAACTGTAATAAATTATTACAGCTATAATTATGATAATAATGCATGAGAATTGCTCCTATATCTAAATTATATTGTCATACTAGTAACTTTCATGCTTTGCTACTGAACGTTGTACTTTATAGTAGTATTATACTGTACAGTACGGTAAGAACACTATACAGTATACAATAAGAACAGTATATAGTCACAATACAGAACACAGTCGACTCCCTTATAACACTGTTGATTTTTCCGTTTTGTATGAATTCCATGTTGTACGAGTCACTTAGATTTTACAAACACATGTGCCGGGCTGTGAACGGCTCACGTATTTGTAAAATCTAAGTGACTCGTACAACATGGAATTCATATAAAACGGAAAAATCAACAGTGTTATAGGGGGGGGTCATATTAAGACCACTACTAAACACTACAGTTAGAATGCTATATACAGTAAAACATTTGTAAAAGTACAATGATATGTATGTATAAATGAGCACCCAACTTTATAATTGTTATAAAGTTTGGAGAATGTACTTTTACTTTAAAAAATAGCCTTCTATTCATTGTATACGAGGAGATTTTATAAAGAAATTTAAATGGATCTTAATTAAAAATTAGAATAGTTCATTACTTTAAAAATAATTAAAAATGAAAAAGTTTTAAGTCACCCTTTCACTTATTTAATGTCCACCAAGCAGCAGCAGCAGCAGCAGCAGCAACAACAACAAATCCGTATAATCTCTTTAATTAGGACTTGATAGTTAATTTTTAATAAATTAAAAGCGAATTAAAGGAAGAAAGATTCTTTAAACATCGAATGTTGGATAATCAAAAAGATAGGAGGAAAATAAAATTAAAAATAAAAAAAAACCCCACCCGCTTCATTAATTTGTAATTCATAGAATTTAATTATTCAACAAAAAGAATTTATGCTTACAGTTTGAATAATTAATAAGTTACTTTTTAAGAACGGAATTAAGTTTGATCAGTTAATTGAGTAGAATTGTGTTATTAAATTGTGTTAATAAGATTAATCGAGTATTTCTTAGTTGATAATGATTATAGTAGTCAGTGGCATTCGAAATAAATGCTATTGAATGTATAATGGAATGTTAAATGCCAATGCTCTATACCTTTATAAATCTATTAAATTTATAAAGTTTTACGCTACCAAAACTGTTAGTAATTTATTGTAAACAAATTATAACTTTATATTTAAAATTTTATTGCTTTATAGCAATAATATAAAAGCTATAATACCAGTCGACCACCCCTATAACACTGTTGATTATTCCGTTTTATATGAATTCCATGTTGTACGAGTCACTTAATTTTACAAATACGTGTGCCGGGCTGTGAACGGTTCACGTATTTGTAAAATCTAAGTAACTCGTACAACATGGAATTCATATAAAACGGAATAATCAACAGTGTTATAGGGGGGGTCGACTGTTACTGGCTAGAAACCTTAAATAAAAAGGCATAGAAGGCCAGAAAAATTTCCACGATATTTTATTAATTAATACTATTTTATTTATATATTTTTATGACTTTCAGAGAAAGGTAAAGCTCTAGGGCCTTTTATCTCACTTCTCTCTCGTATGCTACTGACAATAGAAATTAATATTGATCAGGAAGAATTGTTTAACGATTCAATATAGAAGAACCAAATGGATACTTTTCTTATATAAATAGAGGAGAATGGAACAAATCTAGGTTATTGCCGACATTTTGCTAATGAAAATAGTTAATAATGCTTTTTTATACGATCCATTCTTCTCGTATTTATTATAGAAATTGGAGTCGATCCCAAAGGCGATATTTTTACCAGCTTATTCTCACATGATTTACGTCAGATGGAAAGCATAAAAATCTTTAACATTTATGCAAATTTGTAAGAAAAATGTGTCTGTCTAAACGCTTTATAAGTTATTTTACCTTTTTTTATATGCTTCTATATAAATGTATAGCTAGAGGATAGACGTGAGAACACTCAGAACATGTTTACAGGCAAGTCATCAGTTTAAAAATGTATAAGTTGGATCGTGCGATGAAAATATATCAATTTTGTTTTGTTTGACTTTCTTTTCCTGTTTTGATTCTTACAGATTTATGAGCGATCAAACAGAAAAAAATAAATAATAATAATAATAATTCTTTAGTTATTATTATTATTATTATTATTATTTAATTAAGAATCTAAATTACATTATTTATTTAAAGTAACAAACCAGTTTATTCGTTATATTACAAATACAAGACGCTGGAATGACGTTTTTTAAATTTCGCTGACGTCATTATTAACGGTTGCTTTTATAGGCTAATTTAAATTTTTAAAAAATATATTATTGGCATTTAAATAATTTTAATTAAAATATCAAATACACGACGATAATAATTTATTTATTACGTTAGATAATGAGGTATGATTTTAAAACTTCGTTTAACTAATACTTAATTGTAAATTTATTAAATTTCAATTAAGATATTTAATTCAATAGTAATTAAAATTGTATTTAAACGTCTATTAATTATTTTGGCCTGCTGTCGTGACGTAAAGGATATTTAATTAAAAGTTTTAAAACGGTAGAAGAAGAAGAAGATAGAAGATAATTTATTATAAAATAAAAATTATGGACTGGTCGAAAGCTTTTTCCTATTGATATATATTATTGTCTTTGCTTGATTCTAGAGTTGAAAGGTCATAAAACTTTAGTGTTTTGACAGGTGGAAAATACGAAAGTTCGGTTACAAAATTTGACATGTTGTTTGTAAATTCTCATCGCTAGGTGGCGACAATGTTTGATGGGGGTTAGTGATTTATTTCCATACGATAAACACGCTGGAAGACGAAAGAAGCGATAGATTTTGCGTGGTTTTTTTTAGGTTTAATTTTAATATAATTTTTCAAACTTTTATCGATGAGTAATTGCGTTTTGCTTCTAAAATCAGTTGCAAAAAAGTGGGAGACATGCCAAAGGGGGGGCGGATTTCTATGGAAAATTGTCCCCTTTTTAGGTGTTATATACGTGAAAAAAACCCTAGAAAACACAACATAGTCGCGGGTAACCTTTCTCTAATTTTAAGCCATTTATTTTATATTTTTCTGTGTTTTTCTCTGATATAATTTGCGAGTTTTAAGATAAAATTTCAGTAGTAAATTGAAAAGTGTGTTAAAACAATACATTGTTTTTTTAATTGTAAAATTTAATTTTATACAAAATAGAGCAAAGAATTTAACAGCAGATGTGTGTACTGAAATATCCCAAGGTTTTCTTGTATAAAAATACAAAAGGAACGATTATTCTAGGCGTCAAAAGAGTTTTCCAAGGGCCCCCTTTACTTTAAAGGAGCTCATCTTTTCACGTGTGAGATCCTTAAGTAAAGTATACTGGGAAAGTGGACCGGAGTTCTATTGACTAAATTCACACTGACAGGTGAAAGCATAATTCACCTGTCTACAGGAAACAATTAGAGGACCCGAGATGCACCCCCGCATTCACTAAAACTTCTATTCAGACGTGTCCAAGCTATGCCCCGGGCTAGTAAACCTTTTGTTTGTTTTGGTCAAACTGAATTCTGCCCTTTTGTATTGAAAAAATAACCAAATAATGACCTTCACCCTCCATATATCACGTGGAAGGACTACCGATTCTACGTATATATACGTGAGAAATTGTCAAAGAGAAATAATATACAAGAGAAAAACTTTTAGTTTCAGAATTTAGCCGCTAGGTGGTATCACAGTGTGTTGTATTGATGAAGTAGAGAAGACACTACGAAGAAAGTTTTCAATTATTTTCGATTTTAAATAATAAATTTGATGGTAAGTTTGCATTATTTAATTCATTTCAATTATATTTTTTTATTTAAAGTTAATCGAAGCATTATATTTTTATATTTCCAAGTATATTCTAACTGTACGAGGTGTTAGAAAGTCACGTGGCGTAATTTTTAAATTTAAATTTTTGAATTATACACACGTATTTGTAAAATCTAAGTAACTCGTACAACATGGAATTCATATAAAACGGAATAACCAACAGTGTTATAGGGGGGGTCGACTGTTACTGGCTAGAAACCTTAAATAAAAAGGCATAGAAGGCCAGAAAAATTTCCACGATATTTTATTAATTAATACTATTTTATTTATATATTTTTATGACTTTCAGAGAAAGGTAAAGCTCTAGGGCCTTTTATCTCACTTCTCTCTCGTATGCTACTGACAATAGAAATTAATATTGATCAGGAAGAATTGTTTAACGATTCAATATAGAAGAACCAAATGGATACTTTTCTTATATAAATAGAGGAGAATGGAACAAATCTAGGTTATTGCCGACATTTTGCTAATGAAAATAGTTAATAATGCTTTTTTATACGATCCATTCTTCTCGTATTTATTATAGAAATTGGAGTCGATCCCAAAGGCGATATTTTTACCAGCTTATTCTCACATGATTTACGTCAGATGNAGTACAACAGTCGACTCCCCTATAACACTGTTGATTATTCCGTTTTATATGAATTACATATTGTACGAGTCACTTAGATTTTACAAATACATGTGCCGGGCTGTGAACGGCTCATAATCAACAGTGTTATAGGGGGGTCGACTGTACGTTTAACATAATACTCATTAAATTATACAAGAAGCATTTCACTAGTAAATAGCGTAGTATGAAAACAATTTTAGTCCATCATTAAACGATTAAAATAATTCCAGATCCTCCCCGAATTCGCCTAAAAAGTATACTAATATATGGCGTCAAAGGAAAAGAAGTACAGTTAAGGTGCCCAGTTGATGCCGATGGACAGGATTATTTTTACGAATGGCAGAAGGATAAAGAAACATACGATGCTATCGAACGTGATTTAAATTATAAAGTAACTCGAAAAGGTGTGTTGAAAATTAAGCAAGCGGAGAAACAAGATGGAGGCGAATGGACGTGTAGAGTTACCAACGGATTTGGTAGTGTTGAAGCCATTGTTTATTTAGAAATTATCGGTAAGTTTAAGGTTATAAATTGATATTATTCGTAGTTCATTTTATGAATAATCAGATTAAATTCTTATATATATATCAAGAGGAAAAAGAATTACCTATGTTTTCGCAAAATAGTCAGATAGAAAATGATTATCCTGAAGTCCATCATAAGAAGTATCATTTTGGAAGTAAGTATATCAATATACTGTAACATTTTAAAGTTTGTATTAACTTGCAAATAATTATAATAATAGTAAATTGTATTACTAATAGTATAAAAAGTAAATCCATTGATTTTAAGAAGTATTATTTGAATATTATAAAAATATGAATGCATTAACTTGAGTATGTGATGAATGAATATGCAAACACATTAAACTAGAATGAAATCATAACGGTTATTTACAGTTTTAACTGAAGTTTTATGCTGATTAACGACAGTTAATCAGCATAAAACTGTGCTGATAGTTAATTAATTATAATAACTGTTATTTAAAATTTATACCGACGAATCCCTCGAGCAAGTTACTTACTTAACCCCACTTAAAAAAAGTTAGAAAATAAATAACCAACATTAAATTCGAGAGAACCGTTTCATTCATATTTAAGCATTGATATGAAATGCAAATTTGCTACAGTATCGAAGACCTCGGCTTTTGATTAAGTTGCCAAGGATATAGCCTATATATTTCCTTTTCCTTTTTACATATTTAATAAAATATTCCGCGTTAGATTTTTCTTCCTTTTTTTCATAACGCCTAATTTTATTTAAACGACATATTGATTTAGTCGGCGAGAACAAATCCGATTTCAAGAAAATAAAACTCGATATGTCTAGACTCTATATTGACAACAGAAATAATATTACATATAAACACTAGAGTGAAAGGATATCTTTTAAAATAAGTAATTGCAAGTTATTTAATAAATGTTTTCTAGATAAAATAAGGGATTCTTTATCGAGTTTTATAAGGAATATCAAGAAAAATTATCATAATAACTCTCTCTCTCTCTCTCTGTGTGTGTGTTCAGTTGATCCATTTGTATGTGACAATGCATTTTAATAAATGAAATTTAAGAAACTTTTTAACCTTTAAATATTGCATTACAATTTAAAATATTTTCTATTGATTTGCTAGCAAATAAAAATTGCTTAACGACCAAAAAAAAAAAAAAAAACACTTTTAAAATATTTATAGTTTCAGAACATTATAAAAAATTTAAAGCCATACTATAGAAAATGAATTGTTTGAAAAACTACCTTACATAATACACACATCAGCCTATTGAATTTTCGATTCTGGATTGCATTAAAGAATTAATTTGATGTCACAGAACGACGTGCAATTAGAAAAGGATATAAAATTTTATTATTTTAAACGAATCTTTTCATGCATACTAATGGACGAAACTTTATTTTACGAACTACTAAAACTTTTAGAGAATTATAGATTTTTTTAACTGAATGAAATACTTTATATAACTACACATACATCAGATAATTCTATTCCAAAAATTACTTTTAAATATCTTAATTTATATACATATAAGTTATAGGGTGGCCCAAAAGTCAGTTAACCATTTAAAAGATTAAATTAACTCAAATAGGTCTACTTATTTATTTACAAAATGTACAGAAATTTGAACTAAATAGACTGGAGATTGAATACTATAGGCCTATATTATCGTTTAAACGCATGAATTATCGTAAAATAATTCAACGCGTAGCAGAAACATTGTGTTATTTAAAAAATATACTGTGTTCTTATTATAAAGCATGTGCCAATCGGACTTTATCATCGCCTATCAATAACTGTTACAGGTATTTAAAGTTCAACTCAAAATACGGTAGCGCTGATAAAAATCAAAATGGCGGACATACATACGGAGAAGCGGCATTGTGTGTTTATGGTGTGGCATTATTTACAATTGAAATCTTTCAAAACTGTGTAGAAAGAGAACTTCGTGGAGCACACGTGACATCTAAGGTAACAATTTTGGCTAACTTTTATATATTTAACACTGTTGGAATGATTCAAAATCAGTGTCGTAAAAAATGTTTACGGTTGTGCTTTAAGTATCTGTAACAGTTATTTATTTACTTTGATAAATAAAACAATTATTAACGTTTCATCCTTCTGGCATCTCCAGTATTTAAGTATTACATACGAAGATGCCAGGTAAGAATTGTCAAAGAAATTAAATATAATTTGAATTAATAAACATAGACTTCCTACTGCAGCTAAACACGGCATATAAATCAAGAATAACTTATGTCAGTACTTTCTAATATATACGTGTTATGCTGGCGGCCATATTTTATCGCGACTCCAGGAGGTCGACAGAAGAGTTATATGTAAAAAGTATAAATGTATTCATTTGGATATTGTTAGTCGTTACATCTATAGATAATATAGAGAGAACTATGCACAGAATTATATATTTAAATTTTTATATATACATGCTGAATATACGTTGGCAATTATGTAAAATGATTAAATGAATATATATTTATTATTTTATTGAGAAAAAAGAAAGTAGATCCTGAACTAAAAATTCTAATAAAATTTATTTGATTTTTGTTTCAGAATTTATTGGATCCGTTTTTCAATCGTGTCCTGGTATTCTCCTTCTCACACGTATACATATTTTTATAGACAAACCTTTTGATCACTTGCATACTAAAAAGAGATCAAAAGGTTTTGAGGCAGTTTTTACATGTAAATTTTTCGATTTCTATCTGATTTTGGTAGCGTACTGTTACTTTTTACATGCAAAATATATTATTTTCATGCCGAAAACAGTACAGAAAGCCGATACTTTTTTATTATTTTATAAATTATAAAATTCTGAAGGAATATATAAAAATGACTACTAAAAGACATTAAAGTGTTTTTATATATTTATTTTTTACGAGTTAAAAACTAAATATATTTAATTTCTTACATACTTTCCAATCACAATTAACACTAGCAGAGTTTAAGTTATATTTGAGGCTCTCTTCCCTGCCTACCATTATGTAAATTTATTACATGTTATATTCTCTTATATAATATGTATATAGTGTAATAACACACCCACACATATATACAATTATAGATTATTTTTATATAAATATTTTGTAAGTTTATTTTTAAAATGAAACTACTAATAATCAAGTAGGTGTGTACACCCCCTATAACACTGTTGATTTTTCCGTTTTATATGAATTCCACGTTGTACGAGTCACTTAGATTTTACAAATACGTGAGCCGTTCACATTCTGGCACATGTGTTTGTAAAATCTAAGTGACTCGTACAACGTGGAATTCATATAAAACGGAAAAATCAACAGTGTTATAGGGGGTGTACACACCTACTTGATTATTAGTAGTTTCATTTTAAAAATAAACTTACAAAATATTTATATAAAAATAATCTATAATTGTATATATGTGTGGGTGTGTTATTACACTATATACATATTATATAAGAGAATATAACATGTAATAAATTTACATAATGGTAGGCAGGGAAGAGAGCCTCAAATATAACTTAAACTCTGCTAGTGTTAATTGTGATTGGAAAGTATGTAAGAAATTAAATATATTTAGTTTTTAACTCGTAAAAAATAAATATATAAAAACACTTTAATGTCTTTTAGTAGTCATTTTTATATATTCCTTCAGAATTTTATAATTTATAAAATAATAAAAAAGTATCGGCTTTCTGTACTGTTTTCGGCATGAAAATAATATATTTTGCATGTAAAAAGTAACAGTACGCTACCAAAATCAGATAGAAATCGAAAAATTTACATGTAAAAACTGCCTCAAAACCTTTTGATCTCTTTTTAGTATGCAAGTGATCAAAAGGTTTGTCTATAAAAATATGTATACGTGTGAGAAGGAGAATACCAGGACACGATTGAAAAACGGATCCAATAAATTCTGAAACAAAAATCAAATAAATTTTATTAGAATTTTTAGTTCAGGATCTACTTTCTTTTTTCTCAATAAAATAATAAATATATATTCATTTAATCATTTTACATAATTGCCAACGTATATTCAGCATGTATATATAAAAATTTAAATATATAATTCTGTGCATAGTTCTCTCTATATTATCTATAGATGTAACGACTAACAATATCCAAATGAATACATTTATACTTTTTACATATAACTCTTCTGTCGACCTCCTGGAGTCGCGATAAAATATGGCCGCCAGCATAACACGTATATATTAGAAAGTACTGACATAAGTTATTCTTGATTTATATGCCGTGTTTAGCTGCAGTAGGAAGTCTATGTTTATTAATTCAAATTATATNGTGTAATTGAGGATTGCATTAATTAAAGATGTCCTCCTCCATCTCCATGCTGTAAAATCTGATCTGTACAGCATACTCGATGGCGGAACCAAAGTAATCTGCGTACAGTTGTAATACGTGCGAAATTTTTTATACAGTCAGATTGGGAACGTGGAGGTGGTAATGTCATGCCTAAACGGAATTACTTATATGTATAAAATATTGCCTTGGTATTAGGTATCGCCATAAGAAAAAGTCACGGGTTCAGATCTGTTGATGTTAAAAACGATCCACTAATCACTATTGGCGAGGCGCGAACCCACGACCAATTAATTATCAGTGTTGTGTTAGCAACAGCAGCGCCAAATTTCGCCTTAGCGGCCTAATTTTAAAGTAAAACTTTTCCCTAAAGTCGAAATCTGCATACTGGACTGTACTGTACTGTACTTATACCAAATTTGCTTGTGATTTGTGCAATGGTATTTTTCCTGCAGAGCTCAGAACACGTACAGTACTCTTTAATTACGATCACCCTGTACAGTACTGTACATAAATACTGGTAACTTTAGTTATTAATCAACAAAAACTTTTTATGATAATTTTAAAAATTACATTTATACCTTATATTGTTCTCTACCTAATTTATTATTGTAAATAATGCATCAAATCATTGTATTTTATAGAACCGTACTTATACTTCTGGGGCCCCCTCTTTAAAGACACCGAAGTCCAAAAGACAATTCTCACTGTAAGGGGCCCCAAAGTATCTGTGTATGTTTTCATTGTATAAAATTTATAAAGTTAACTTTAATTGAGAGCCTCAAGCTGGCATCTAATACCTGTTTAAGTAGGCCCTAATTAATTAAAAATCACTCATTGACATCTTTTTTTTACATCGTTTAGGTAAACCAAGGTGGTTGGATTTATATAAATTCGATTCTACTGACAAACCTGCGGGCAGTACGGCCATTTTGAAATGTAAAGCGGCAGCAAAACCTGAGCCTAGCATTACGTGGTATAAAAATGGTAAAATTTTAGAGCACGGGCCTAGAATAAAAATACACGGATATAAACTTTTAATAGAAAGTCTAAGAGAAACGGATAGTGGTGTTTATACTTGTATTGTTTTCAATCTTCACGGATCCATTCAGAGAAATTTTACGTTAGACGTCATCGGTAGGCATTTCTTTTTTACATTTTTTAATGTATGTACATACATTTTCTACATATTTATTTATGTACGCAGGTATAGTCAACGAAGAGCCCGTAATAACAGGAAATCATCTAGTCAACACAACGGTATTTTTTAACGAAACGGCAACTTTTCGGTGCAACGTAAAGAGTAAAGTCCGTCCAATAATAAAGGTAATTACGTCTATGCACCTTAACATAATCGAGTGTACTTAAATTCTAAGCGTAACGTTTACTTAACAGTGGCTGAAACAAGTAACATCTAACGATAACAAGAACGGGCAGCCAACTTTTAAAGTGAACAACGAATCGTACATAGTCCTGAAATCCTCCGAACACGTTAAACAGGAGAACGACTCCTACTTAAACAAATTAATTATAAGGAATGCCAATATGAAACATGCCGGAAAGTATGTCTGCTGGGCAGCCAACATTCAGGGATATAACTTTAAAAGTGCCTCTCTGTCTGTCATAGGTGAGTAGGTGTTTTTTAATTGTTATCTGATTAGAGGTGTAACGTCACGTGAGTTAACTATTGTTTCTTTTGTTAGAACCGCCTAGTCAAATGGAGCCCAAAAGTGAAAGGTTAACCAGCGATATAGTTATTGTTATTATTGTTGTTGCTATAGTAGTTACGGTGTTTAACGTAGTTCTTTTTGCTCTTTACGGAATATCCCGTTGCAGAACAAATCGCAATTCATCTTACAAGCGTTAAAACATTGTTTTTTAAGTCATTTTATTCTCGCTCATCCATTTGTAATTATAGCATTTTTTTTTTAATTATTATTGGAATTCTGTTTTAGAGTGAAAGCAAAGTTTGCCATTCTGCCAGAAATTTTATTATTATTATTTATTGATGTTTTGTCATGAAGAAAAAAATGTTTTTATATTAAAAATATTTCTTATATATATAAAACTTCTGATGATTTCTTTAGCATTAACAAATCTAGAATTATCATAAGACATATTTTTATTATCAAATACAATTATCTGAAGTACAAAGTTTGTTATTTTCAAAACTCTCCTGTTTTTTTTTTTTTTTGTTTTTCCAAGCTTATTCTTGAATTTTCACATAAATATAAAAGCATTTAAACCTTTTTTTTTTTTCTTTTTTAATTTAATTGTACATTAAGCAACAGCAACAATTTTTATATGTACAAATAAACATGATAAAAAATATTTACAGCACCTTCGTTTGTTAACCTCTTCATAAAATAGAATGCTGCGGATATTAGATATGGTCGAAAGGACACACGCATGTATATGTATAATGTGTATATATATCTATTAAAAATATATCACTTCTTTTAAACGTTGGACGCCGCGCCGAAGCCAGTCCGATGGGTCGAATATGTACAATGCAAGAGTGATTTGGATTTTAATTATTGCTTTACAAGTTTAACAAGCTTTGATGTAGAAAGAATTTGTAAAAAAATGTTTTTGTTTTTTTTTGTACAAAAAGTTTGAGTTTGCATACTTATTATAAGTTAAGGGGAAGAAAACGAGAAAAATTATGACACATTGATATGTAACGAAGATGAGATTCCGGACGCGTTATGAGTTGCAGTCTAAACAACTTTGAGTTATCGTCCAACTTACTTTACCTTTTAAAACTTGTTCTTGTAATTTCTGAAAAGAAAAGAGAGTTAAATGAGTATACATTTGTATATGATATTATTATACTAATAGCTGGCATTATAAACATTCGTCGATAAACTACGCTTCTTCAAAATCACTTTACAGATTAATCTGGGTTTTCTAAACCGTAAAATTTAGTTAAAAGCACTCGCTATGTTAATGAAGTCGGAGACATGCACTTAAATTACGACGCAAATGCTATAAAATATAAAAATACATCTACTAAATGTGCATTATATTTTTTAATTAATAAATCAAATATTTAAGTTTTCATCAACTAATGTAATGGCAGGTCACATATATTGATTTTATTATAATATATATATATATATAACCATCTAAAATTATAATTGATGTATTGAATAACAGGACAAGTTTTTTTTAATGAATAATTAAAATATTCAATAGTGAAAAAATTAAATTATTAACATTTTTACATTAAATCAAAGATTTAATTTAGATACTTGAATAAATATGATATAAATTTTTGTAGAAAATTAAATTTTACAATGCTCAAGTTCAAACTATAAAAAACAATTGTATAAAATTCTAAAATATTGTATTAAATGGAGAAAATTAAACTACAAATGTAAATAATTATATGTAAAATGAACACAATGATTTAATATTTACTGACTCTCTTTGACTTTCTGCCCCACGAGCATTCAGCCTTTTATCCGGGCTGGCGGCCCCCAACTAAAAAATTATTGGGTTGGGTCCCTCAGAGTCGTAAGCCCGACTGACACTTTATGATATCACTCATCTAATTGGTCATTTATTTAAGTTTAGAAAACTACCAGTCAAATTTTATGAATTACATAAAAAAAAAAAAAATAAATTTGTTTAAATGTTTAAAATTCTAAAAACATCTTAAATGTTTTAGAGAATGAATTTTGAATTAAGTTGTTAAAGTACAGAGAAACTAAGAAATAAAAACAAGTTTACAAAGTTATAAATATGAAATTATATTTACTTTTATAAAAATAAAATTATTGTTCACAGTACAAGTGTGATATAGTAAAATTTTGTCTTCTATATTCAGTTGTATTCACCGAAAGTCTCTATAAATAATTTTTTGCGCTACTTTCGGTCAAAATTATGTTGTTATTTTACATACCAAGATAATATAAAATTTGTATTTAGACACCGCAAATGTATCTTTTACAAATTTCAGTATTTACTACCCTACAATTTTACAAGATTAATGTACTGCAAATAAATTGTTTTTTTGAAAAAGCTAGCAGCTTATAAAAAATTTATGTGTTTATTTATCAAGTATTCCGGAAATACTTCGTTCCTACTTAAGGGAATTGATGTCGGAATATTGAAACTAGAAAGAATAAAAGTTTAAGAATTTATAAACGATGATTTTCTAAATGGAATGAACTTGCTTTAAAAACTAACCCTTTTTGCAAAGATGAAATAAACAAGTTTGCTTAAAATTTTACAAACAAAAATGGGAGAAAGTGTTTTTAAGAACGGCCAAAGAAAAAGATTAATATACGTATTAATTAAAATAAAATATTTTCCTAAATATAACAGTTTCTGTCTTCTACACTGTCATGTTTATGCAAACAATCAGTAGAAGAAATTAAAATTAAATACTTCAGATATTTAAAAAGATGAATAAATAATCAGAAGTTATATTAAAATAATAATTTTGTAAATTTAATTTATTAAAGAGCTTGAATGAAAAAAAAAAGCAATCGCAATCTGAGCAAAGAGCGATGAAGCCAACGATTGGCATTTTCAAAGTATCTCGGCTCTCAAAACAAACTATAAAATGTGTCTGTCATTATTTATTAGCATACAATGTCAAAGGCAACCTTTATTTTGTGGACTGAAAGATTTACAAAGTATTAACTTGCACTTTATAATAATCATGTTGGAAATAAATAATAATGCATAAGTAGAATTGTCTAAACATGAAATGTATCTAAATTTCCTCATATCATCAGTAAATTTAGTAATTTGAAATGCATATATACTATGGTGCAAATAAATAATGTTTGAAATACTTGTGCTGTTTAATTTAGTCACTGCAAGTCCAGACAATTGAAATTCAGAATGGAATATTACACCAAAGTTTTTAGGTCTATGAATCAAGAAAGCAAGAGAATAGCTTATACTCCGAATACCAGTAAAATAATTAATATATCTACGTAGTTAATTCATCTAATATAGCCAGCTTATAATGAAAACACTCCATATTTTTAAAGTTAAGAAATTAGTATAGAATAATCCTTCCTACAGTCGTGTAGACGCGAGAGCTAAGCCCTAACAAAACAATTAGCAAAACTATAGTTTAAAATGAAGTTCTAAGTAAAATAATAATTCAAAACAAGATAAAGCTATAGATCAGAAACCACCTCCTAATTCTCTATAAAAATGACATAAAATAATTCAAACAAAGAAAATTAAGGCGTTGTAATGTGCATAGAGCCCAAGAGATATCTTGTAATATTAACTGAAACTTGTAAGATAAGACGATGACACAACAGACCCGAACTTAAATGGAAAGTCTCGATCAAGAAGAACTATGGACAAATCCATGGAAGGTAGTATGGATTTGTCATGGTATCAACTCCATGGATTTGAAGAGAGAGCTAACTCTTAATGCAGAAGAATGGAGAGTATTTGTCAGGCAGTCAAGAACCTTTATAGTCCTGGCACAAATAATAATAATAAATCAGAATGATTTTTAATATATAAAATTATAAATATGAAATAAAATGAATATTTTTATCACTTTCAGTCAGATGTGAAAGCATTTATTTATTCAATTAAATAAATTCATAAAATTTAACGAATGCATGACAATTTAATAACAACTATATCTTCACATACAGTAAACCCTGTCCAAAACTGAACCTACCTAAAATGGAAAAAATGCTCGGTACCATGTTTACATAGGTTTTACTACATAATTTACAAACTTTCTTACACCATATACATCCATTCTATTTGAAACAAAATTGGTCAGGCTGATCTGATAGCATGCTGCACAAAAGCAAATCAAATATTAATTTTGTATAAAATAAATTTTATAAATTCTTGGAATCATGTAGTTATTCAGAAGAACTTTTCACTGAACATACAGTAAGGGATATGGTTTATAGATTCCAGAGGAACTGGGTAACTTTTACTGTAGCTTACAGTGACTGTAAAGGAAAATGTTCAGTTTCCTTTTGTGCACACATACGGACATACGTAATGAATGAATTGAACGGAACATAACTTAGGTAACAAAAGTAAACTGTCTCATTGCGCATGCACATGTACATGCGTAATGAATGGATTGAACGGATCAAAATGGAATGTGCAAATGCAATCCTCCTTGGGCAGAGGAACCCAAGCCATGGGTAGTGGCACTTTCTCCCCTTCAGAGGACCCTGGCAACAGGTAGTCACAAACCCTACTCAGGCAGAGGTGGGGTGGCATCAAATGATCTTCTGGCAAAACTAATAAATACATTTGCTGTCAGTTGCTGTCTCGAATATATAATGTCTGACAGATACACAGAAGTCCTGTTTGTTTGTTTGTTAAATTATGGCAACGCAACACTTGGGCGATCTGCCTAGGGGGATGCCTTCCAGGAGGTCTTTTTAAGGGAAACTGGTCCCTATTTAGGCATTACAGATGTGGAGAAAACCTGGAAAACTCCACGTAGCCAGCTCGTCTGAGCGAGGTGTGAACCCATGACCAAACTCCCAGTGTTCAGGGTACGAAGACTGCTTGGCCACACTGGTGGGCCACAAAAGTCCTAACATAAGCACTTCACTACTATAGTGGAGTGTGCTAAAAAAAGATTAACATAGTTTTTGACAGTTTAAATTTTGAAAATGATCTTAGTAACTGTGAGTATACTGAACATATTTTGAAATTGTAGAAGTGAAAATTGATTATGAACTAGCAATTATAATTTCAGAATTATATTTCTGTTGGAAAAAAAAATATGAAAACATTTTGAAGTTAGTTTCTTTTTTAAAAGAGGAAAGTATTTTTAAACATATTAAGCAGTGAATAACTTTAATTAAATAGAAAATAATATTTATTATCAGAGGTTGTATTTGCCTTTGTTTTTATAACATTCTAGTTTTAGTTTCAGTTAAAGATGTGAAAACATATAAGATACACTTTTGTGTCAATAAGTTTTTGTTTAACCAAAGCAATTTCTGTTATATCAATTTTATGTTCTCTCGTCTTCTGATTTTACATTAACAGAAACAACTTGCTGAATCGTTCGGCATTTTTCTCAAAGAAAGTAATAGTAAATGGCATTATTGACAATCTAACAAATAAACAATGATTTTTGTGAAACATTATAAACCAAAAGTGATGACATAATGCATATATAATAATATATAATTGAACAATCACCACTTGATTAGCTACATAAAATCACACACCTATGGTAAAATTCTGACTTAACTAATTGATATATATATATATATATAGGTATACCTCACCTTATGTCGGTAATTGGTTCCAGGAGAGGCAACTTAAGTCGAAAAATGATGTAAGACGAATTTACTTGTCACTAGGCTAAACCACAAATAACCATTCCCAGTTCTGTACTTTATTTATAAATGCATTTTTAATAATATATGGTTAATAAGAATCTATTTTAAGCTTACAAACAAATAAATTTTAGTTTTTAATATAGTACAGAAAAAAAGTAATCTAAATTTACGATTACATGTACAGTACATACTTGTAAATGTACATGTTTACAATTTGGTGATGTTTACAGTACATCGTGGACTCTATTTGTGAATGTGGTTTCTCTAAAGCATTATAAAATAAGATGATTTTTTAAGGTTAAATAACAAATATAGTTATTAAAATTATTTTGCGATAGTAGAAAAGATTTATGTTAAATTTACCAATATCGAGTGGCTCTGACAATGACGCCAAACAGTAGATATTGGAACTACCGTGGAAAACACCAATAATGAGCACTTAAAGACTGCTAAATAAGACAGAAACACAGATGTTTTCATGTTTCATTCTCTATGATTTATGATGATTATATTAACATTTAATGTAAATGTACACATTTTAATATGATTTTATGTGCTTTTAATACTTTTCTAGTGATATTATGACTTCAATATTTGTGGCAGACAGACAAAAAGTCGAATAAAATTAATTAAACTTGATTTTTATTTTTCCATATACTTTTTTGACAAACTATGTATAATCGAGAACAACGTAACTCGAGGTATACATGTATATATATATTTTTTGCAAAGTAAATATTTTGNGATTTTTATTTTTCCATATACTTTTTTGACAAACTATGTATAATCGAGAACGACGTAACTCGAGGTATACATGTATATATATATTTTTTGCAAAGTAAATATTTTGAAGTGTTTTTGAAATCAACATTAATAGGACAACACTAATTTTATATACACTCAAAATAAAAACAAAATGTTAAGATCTGAAACAATTTTACCCTTTATAATTTTTATATTTTTACACAGTTCCAAAGTGCATCTATCTTTTATAAATGAATACAGTGATACCCCAAACTTACGTGATAGGTGGGACCGAGTGATAACCACATAAGTCGAATTCGTGTAAGTCGGGGTATAATTTTGCAATTTGTGTAAAACCCAAGTCAAATGTACATAAGCTAATAAATATTCTCGTTAATCTTATCTCGTCTTTTGATTCGTTCACGGTTAGAAGAAATCACCACATAGAGTCTTTCAAGTCTCCGTAGATATAACAAACAGAAATAAATAACACAAACTAAATTATGGCTACGTGTCGATTCTGCACGACACATCTGAACATGTAAGCTGAACAATAGTGTGGGGGGATTGAGTAATCGAGAGTTGCTTGGCACTCAAACAAAAGACGAATCGACGAGACTTCAAAATCACGTAACTCCGGGTTCGCGTAAGTCGAGTATTACTGTATTACTTTATATATTACTAGCAGAGGTACCCAGCTTTTCTTGAGAAAATGATATGTTAACCTTTCAGCAGTGGACTAGTCAGGTACAGTTCTACCCCCAATAATGGATAATAAACGTGGGAAAATTTTAAAGTATTTTTCCACGTGCTTTTTCTCATTACTGTTTCAGAAATAGATTTTGTAAACAGTTATGTCTAGTAAAGAAAAGTATTTTTTATTGTTACATAATTCATTTTTTAAGTGAATTTTTTTCGCGGTAGTTTTTGGCGTTACCCCCAAAAGAATTTAACGGATACTCTGTCCTTCACTGCTGAGTGGTTAAGTAAAGATAATATATTCATATCCTCTGCATATACATAAAAATGTATATGCAGAGAAAGAATATATTTTTTAATAACATAATAATAATATATCTGGCCAAAAAACAATTTTACATCAAAAGAAATTCTAGAGATTTGCTGACAATATGACACAGGTGAAAATGGCAATAGTAAATGTTTAGTATTGCCTAAATTTTCCTGGCTGACTAGCTTTCACTTTTGCCCATTAATTTTTGTAACATTAGCCAGTTGTATTTGAATTTTGCAGTTGACTTCACACCCACCGGACTCTGGACAAACCTTTCTACTTGGTGAAGACCTGATAACAATCAGATATGAACTAACTTACTCTTGCAAACAATATTACAATTTTATCAAAGCTTATAAAACGAAATTTTTGGAAATGAAAAATAATCTATATCCTTCCTAATACTATCTTGTAGAAAGTTTCATAGAAATTGGTCCAGCTGTTCTCAAATGATACCCGAACAGACACACAAATTCAATGAAAACGTTATATATATATATATAGATTGATTTTCATGATGTGCAAAAATCAATTTAAATTTATTAATTGAAACAGAGCATTATTGTGTTTGTTCTCATAATCTGTTGTTCAATAAATTTAGATCAAACTTTTCCATTTTTCATTGTAATGAGGAATCAAGAAATGTAATAAAAACTGTGGGCTTGTTTTCAAGATATAAAGTTGTAGCATGAGTGTGTGTAACAAACCAATATCACACAAATCATGTGATTTTGTTGTATGATGTTTTCACAGTCACTAGCAGCCCTTTTTACGGGCTTATAGAATTGAGTTTGTTTTCAAAATTTAATGGGTCTATTTTGATAAAAATTTGGCCATTTTCCATTAATTGCAATGAGGAATCCAAGAATGTAATGAAGGTCCATTTAAATGTGAAAAACAGGAGACCATAACCTTGTTTCTGATATAAAAATTTAATCTTTGGGGAGCAGCGTTGAACAAATAAAAAATTTTCACCTTGTGACTGCTAATTCATATGTAATACGTAATAGAAATCACAATATAATATAAATAAAAAATGAATTTTAATTAAGAAAAAATTTTTGGAAAATTTACTACTGTTGTTTTTCTTTTAATTTGCAGCCACCAGGCCCCTTGGTCTCCTCTGGTTGCACCACTGTAGAGGTATTAATTAATTAAAGTGACAATGCCACGCTCTTTGATGTGACTGAGCATGCCTAACGAAATTTAGGCCTAGAGTCAAAAATAAAATCAGTATTGCATGCTCCTAATGGAAAAGGTGCAAAAAACAAACAAAACACATGAACAAAGCAATCAGTGGCAATTGCTTTGTTCTTGAATCACATCTTTGTGTCAGCAAGTGCAAGGATCATGTTTTCCATGGCCAGAGGGCACAAGGATAACCTCTTTTGTGGCAGTAGGTGCAAAGTTCACCTGTCTGCATCTGTCAGGTATAAGGATTGAGTCTTCTATGACTAACAGGTGCAAGTATTGCTTCTTTCTTTATTGCTCTGCCTCGATTCTGTTGCGATACAACAAAGTCACACAATGTCCTAGTATTTTCATATTAGCTGGCCAATTTGTGATATTAGCCATGATTAATTGATCAGTTAGTTTGTCTCTATAGATTTATAATTCCTTTACATTAACAATTCTATGATATTCAAAAAAATAATTATGTAGAATTTTATATTAATCTATATAAAGTGAACACTGATTCAATGAATACATTTCTACTGTTAATTGATTGCTTGTAACAAACATATTAAATTAAAATTGGAATAATAGAATAATTATCTAGTAAATTTGATCTTTTATCAAATTTCAATAAGAATTCAAGTCATTGTCTTAGAAATATATACATAACAATTCAAAACTTACTTTATTGTATATCTGTGCCATCAACCTATTTGTTTTATACTGCTGATCTCTCTTCTTCTTTTCTTTCTTTTCCACAACTTCCGGTAATTTCCTGTATACCCTGACATAAATACACGATATTTAAAATTCTCATAATAAGTTTAAAAGTTTCAATCAATTCACTCATCCTTGTTAAGGAAGCTCTCGATATAAATACAATTCAATGTGCTTTTCTCAGAGTGAAAGAGAAAACTCAAACAGTTTTAAATTAAACATCCCATAATGAAATGAACACACAAGTATTTTCTTTTTTGTTACTATTAATATTAACTGTATGAACATGATCCATACCTAACATCAAATAAAGTTGTCACAAGCTTTGTCTTTCAAATTTAAAAGTTTCATGAACAAAATTCTCTCCTTGGCATACATCTTTGGAGTTCATGGCAGATTCATATAAATCCTCTCCAATTCCTCTTAATACTTGGAAATAAGGATTTTTCAGCAAGTTTATCTGCTGTTATATATGAATTACTTCTGTATGGTTAATAATAATAATAATAAAATAAAACAATATTTTAATGATGATAGTAAATTAAAGTTCTTTTACTTTCAGAAAAGCAATTTGAATGAAATTTAATTACATATGTCAAAGAACAGTGATCTGCTTGTGTAAATATTAAAAATTCATATTTTAACTTACACAATTGTTACTGTGTACAAAAAAATTTTATAATACAAGCATAATGATTTATGTAACCTTATGGATGTTTAATTAAGTATATTTATATTTTGTATCTTCTACATGAACTATATATAATATTAAGTTATTCCATTATGGATACATTATACTAATCACTGCATTTAGGTGTATGACAGACCACAATTAAACCCACTATAGGAATAGGAGAGTCTGACCTGCAATGGTGTAGTGAATATGATTGCAAGAGGAGAGAACAATACTCCAACCTGTTATCCATAATAATTACGGAGATCTGCATTGAGATTGAACCTAGCACTCCCGTGGCAATATGCAAATGTCTCCAATACCTTATAGCTTGGTAATCTAGCAAATACTTTGTGTTAACATACACAAAGTAACACTTGTTAATTATAAAATAGCCTTTGGAATATATATACAGTCAACCGTTGTTAGGGTACCACCCTCATTTACTGCCATATGGAGAACAAATCTTCTCTCTGGAATATATATTAAAAAACCCTGTTATTATGCCAACTCACACTTAATGCCAGAAAAATTTTTGGAATCCCTTTTCCCTAAACAGTTTCGTAATAAATTATTCTGGTGGAATGTTGGGTGTGTTTCACCCACAGCAGATGGCAACGAGTCTTGACTTCTTGCTTTGAAATCTAGTGTTCTTTCATAATGTTCTACTCTACTGTATTGTTAACTTGCTGTAATCTGCTGTTGTAAGAGTGTCATCAATATCGGTAAATGAGCAGTTATTTCAATTAAAGAAAAATATGAAATTTGTTTGTACAAAGAGAAATTTCCAAATGCTAGTGAATACAACAAAGAATGGCAGAACACTTTCCTTTTTGTGGAAGAAAACAATCAGTTTCAGATGCATTGGACACAACTTGGAATGACAATTTTGAGGATGCCCTAGTAATGTGGATTAGCCAAGTTAATGCCAAGCATGAAATCGTAACAGAAGCTGTAATTATAGAAAAAGCAAAGAATTTGAAAGACAGATGAGAATTAGATTTCCAATATAGCAAGGTTGGTTGGCAAGATTCAAACAGTCATGAGATTTCACAGCATATCAGGTAAGTGAAACAGCTGAAGTGGATGACCAAGTTGTATCAGATGCTTGTGAAACGTTGTCTGACATGATTGCAATATTGCAAAATGTTTATGATATGGATGAAAGTGGATTGTATTACTGCATGCAGCTAGACAAGACAATTTCCTTTAACACCTGAAAGAATCTGAAATTGCTGAAGCCACCCACACAGGGTTAACTCCATCAGTTTATAGCAAAATCATTTAGTAGAAGAGCTGACATGTTTTGAACCAGTTTCAAGCAACAGCATCATTGGAAAATCCCTTAATTTCAGAAGAATGTTTAAACCTTAATGACAATTCACCAACATTTGAACATAGAAGAAGATAGAAGATAGAAGAAATGAACATAGAAGAGATCCTGTGAAATACAAATTACACTAAAATTTCTGATTCAGATGATGAGACTGAAAAAGTGCAACATCTACCTTCTGCTAAAGAAGAAGAAGAAAAAAAAAAGCATTAGAATAGTAAGAGCCTTCCTAGAAGCATACTGTGTTGATTCTGATGTAATGTCCCATGTTTATCCCATAAATGATATTACTGATGAGAATAAAGCATAAAGAAAGCAATCATTAATACCAGATTTCTTTGTCTCAAAACAAATATGTTTTGTATTTACTTGTAGTGTGTGTATATTTTACTCTTTTACTTCAACTCTTTATTTCTGCTGTAGAGGTGTATTTACATGTTATACTGAATTTTCTCTTTAGTAATATATATTTTTCTAATTTCAAAATAGTGCCACCATTGTATAGTGCCAAAAAAGAGGGAACAGACAGTTGCATACTAACAAAGATTAACTGTATATAATTTTTTTCCCATTCAAATTATAACCTTATACAATTATAATACACATAATAATTGTATTAGATTATAATTTGAATTTAATAAGTTTAATTAAAAAAAAAAAAATTCAATAAAATCTGATATATAAGAAAGTTTGAAGTTGTGCCAAAATTTAGTTTCTGAAAATATTTCTATATTAATCTAAAGCTTATTTTATGATAAAAAAAAAAAACATGATACAAACGTAAGTTGAAACAAAAATTGATACACACTTTTCTGTTTGCTCTCTCATTTCTTCATGAGTAAAAGGTTTAATTTTCTCTTCTTCTATTTCTATAAAAGTAAATTTTAAAATGAACAAAGTCTACATAATATTATGTCAATTTTATAACATACAAAATATATCAATACATTACTCAACAAGAAATAAACTGTAGACTCTCACCTAAATGTCAAAGTTCCAGCAAAACACCTGTTCAAACTGATTTTAAAAAAATTACATGTACAATGTGGCAACATTCTAGAAATAGAACAGTTATTTTCATTTGACTTTTCCTAATGAAGGCCAATTAAGGGGTGGCCGAAAACATTCAAATGTTGAATGTGAGTATTTTGCCGGAAATTTGACATTTAGGTGAGAGTCTATATATATCGTTCCAGTTTACTGTTGTAGTTTTTATACATGAAATAAACTGTACTTACTAAGTTTATGTTCTGTTTTCTGATTATTTAATTCTGATGTCAGTTTTGCTTTTTCTAGATTAAGTGCGGTTTGTTTCTGTCTAATGTCAGCAAGTTTAGCTATTTTGATTAATCTGGACCGAGAATGCCTGATTACATGTCCGCAATTCGAGTGAAATGCTTCCTAAAAATAATAAATCTTATTAGCAAAAATTGTGGTCAAATATTTATTTAATTATAAAATTAATAAAGTCATACTTGAAGGCTGACCCCGGGAAAATTTCTTCCCAGTGATAGTAATTGTTTTTTTCTTTCGGCACTTGAAAGAGGCACAAACCACGCTATATTTCGCTGTACATATTTTGGGGCTGTTTGACTAGATCCTTTCCTTTTTCTAACATAAGCCTTTTCTTTATACCTGTATGATTTTTTATCCTGCTTTCTGTTTACATTAGCAGTGGTATCTAAAGTTATAAAGCATCTGTCGGAAAGTCTTGAAGTGACTATATTATTTCCAATAGGTTTTACATCTATGGTTTGAATACCGATACTTGTCATTCTCTCCTTTAAAAGTTCCTTTGAAGGCTGAGGAGTAGGAAAATTTTGACTGAAATCCTGTTTTGTCTGATGATCTTGCTCTAATACTTGACTAGTATTTACAGATGTATTTACAAGTTTTTTAGTAAAGACTTTTCTAGTTTTAGTCTTTGGAACAGTCAAATCTTTGTTATTACTTGAACTCAAAACAGAATCAGTAGTAATGCTATAACTAGAATCGTGAACTGAATAACCATTTCTCAAATTAATACCATTTCTTTTTGTTATTTTATCTAGCTTTTCCAGACTAGTTCCATTTGTTGTTGATGTATGAGATGATGTCGATAAATGCTTTAAAGATTCTGATAGAAATACCTCTTCAAATTTTTCTAACCTCTGCACTTCTCTTTGGAGACGTCGGATATAACTCCGTTTCTGTTTATTTACAAGATGCCTTAATTTTTCAAGCTCTCTCTTTGCCAGTTGGGATGGTTTGAGTCTAGATATGCCAAAATCTGCACTGGTAATTCGAGTAACCAAATTTGTATCATTTGTTTCAGAGGATTCGGTTTTAGATATTTCCTCATTTGATTTCTTTTGGCTACTCAATGAGGAATTCTCTAACGAAAAATTCACATTGATAGATGAAGACTGATCTTGAGTTGAAGAAGTTTGTCCTTGAATCGATGATGATGATGTTTCTTGCCCGACTCCTTGAATTCTGTGATTTTCATGATTCAGTATATTGGCAGGATCTTCAGTTCTCCAAAACTGTTTTTCTCGAACACTCGTCACATACTGAGAACCGTTACTTGTGTCCGATGTATCATGATTTAAATTAAAAGCTGGCTGTTTGTTGCTGTCTGCATGATAACTAACATCTGAATCTTTTTTTATTTTTTCAACATTTTCTCTTTCTAAAGGATTAGGTTTTTCGTGCTTTGCTGTCCTATCAGAAATACAGACTTTACCATATTTCTCTAAATATTTTCTAGATCCATATATTCCTGGAGAGAGAACTTCAACATTTAAACGAGATCCATAAGCATGTGGAGGGAACTGAGGTGGTTCTGCATCATCAGATCCTAAAAATTAAAATACTTTACTTATAAAATCATTCATTATAAAAGAAATGATACAAATATTATTTGAATTTTTTCTGTAAAATAACTTATATAGCTTTATGATATTTATTATATCGTTGACTAACTCATTATAGTATTATGTAATCCAAGCTGCACTTCCAGGAACATAACCTGAATTTATGACACAACCTATGGGATACACTATAGCTCACTTATTGATAGTTTTCTAAGAACCAATTAGGTCATAATGCATAATCTATTATAGCATAATATAATTATTACAAGTTAACTATACAAAATATGTTCTCAAAACAGTAGGAAATAGATAACTGTTTATCGGATGGATATCCATAAACTATACAAAAATGAAATTTTTCTATTTAAAACATAAAAGAGATGATAATTCTCTCAATGTAGGAAGGAAAGACAGAAATTTGTGTAATCTGGTTATAGTGTGATGAAATATAGAATTAATATTGTCATTTGGATATTTATCTCACAAAATGTACTTTTCTGAATAATGATAAAGAAGCTCAAAGACAATTTTTATAAGAATCAGGAGAGGAAAAGATGTTAAACCATATTATTAGCATAAAAATTTAAAGATAACATTCTTGATAAGTATACAGTATAGAATTTTGTTAAAAACCTAAAAGTTTTGACACAAGGAACTCCTATTAATATAGGCTTAATTAATGGAAAAAGAAAAATCAAGAGAACATCTCATTTTTTAAAATGCATTTTGGGTCTTAATGATCCTTCTCCAGTCCTTATTTTTTTGTACAGATCTTAGCAAAAGAAATAATATTTATAAATTACATCATACATACATGTTTGGATAGTATTATGAGATGTTCTCTTGATTTTCCTTTTTCCATTAATATAGCCTATATCAATAAGAGTTCCTTGTGTAATAAGTTACTGAAAAACAGTCAAAAACTTTAGTTTTTTTTAAAAAAAATCCACAGAAACCAGTAATGGAACAATCAATTACAGTATAGAATGATTGAGTTCTTATATTTTCATGGCATTCATCTAAAAAATTTGTCAGTTTTAATATTGTAATACAAGACAAACATTCATATAAAATCTTTTATGCTTTGTGGACACTAAGGAAGCCATTTTTCCAGGCTCATTGTAGGTTGGCCCAGCTCACAATGGGCAGCCAGCTGGCAAGGATAGATCAATCCATAAAAAAATTCCTGGGATTTTTGACTGAGTCAATTCTGAGTTCTCTGGAGCAGCAGGCTGTGCCTTAACTGCCTTGGCCATTTGACTACCTAGTCATTTTGTTTTCAAATATTCAAGTATAGAACAGATTCAAAATATATTTCATTAATGATGCTTCAAGTTTTATTATATTTAAAAACAATACATTTAGGTTTTTTTTTATAATTTAACAGATTGTAAATTGTCTATTGTTTCCTAACCTAAAAATAAACACTAAAAACAATGTATTATAATACTATTTTGTGAGTATTAAGAATACCTTTCTTTATGATCTATTGTAATTTCAGCTTTGTCTGCAATACACAATCACTATCTCAATTATGCAGCTGTCCCACACTGCTAGCAACAACAGTCGGCACTACTTATAAAATAATAAGTGAAAAGTTGTATAGTAATTTCAGAGTTAAGACAGTGCATTTTTTGTAATTTATAAATATCTCTAAGCAGTTTTGTGAAAACTATTCTGACTAGTTATATAATAAAGTTTATAATTTGTTTTAACACATAAATATGTATTTGAATAAATCAAACAATTTTTTAAAAAAATAATTAACATACCTGTATGAGTACTTTCCATTGTCGTTTCACTATGAATTGATGGCATTGTATGATGATGAACTTCTAAAGTTTTATTCATATCATCATTAGGAATGGCATATTTTTGTACTATATTACTGGAAATATTTCTTTTAGACAAGATATTCTTAATTTCTACCATTAAAGATTTTGTTTTTGGTCTAGCCTGATGTTCATCAAGTGATGATAATTCTGATGTTCTTCTTAAACCAAAATTATTTACCGACTTTTCTTCTGAAGTTAAGGCAGAAATGGTTCCGAAATGTTCAGAATTTGATGTTGACGGAGTAGATGATTCATTTATATGTGACTTACTATCTTCTGTCACCACCTTCCAATAACTGGAATATTCTGTTGAACTGAAAGTAAATATTATATTAATTTTTAAAATGTAAATTTTTAATAAAGTAATAATAAAAAGTATCAATACAATATTTACCTTGTTGGTTGTGCAGAAGTCTCGCCACTCATAACTCTTGTAGGTTTTATAGAAGTGGAACTTGCCGCTCTTTTATAACTCTCATATTTAACAAGTTTGCACTGCATATGTTCATTTTCTTTTAAATCTTCATTAGATTTTTCTTTCTTATAATTTGTGTGTGTATTTATAGGCATAACTATAGATTTTGTTGCAGGTGTTACCTTTGTAAATATACTTTTCTTTTGAATGATGTTATCGTTGAATTCATGTATTTTTGTCGAATCAACATGATTAAGATGTGTCTTTTTATCTAATTTTGGAAAACTATTAGGCACTGACGACTGATATTCAGTAGCAGAAGGTAATTTTGTACCAATAATTAATATAGAATTTGCATCAGATGCATTTTTAAGATTTGAAGAGTTATTTCCAGAAACTGTCACTGCTTGATGAGAAGTTATAATTTTATCTGCATTAGCTTTAGACAGAGGTGGAAGGTGAAGGGGAATTGTGTATGTCTTCGATGATTTAATGCTCTTATTTTCACACATCTCACTGTCGGAATGACTTGTGTTGCCTTTGTGTTTAGATTTTATATCTTCGGACTGTGTGAAGGTATCTTGATTAGATCTTCTTCCTTCTATAATACTCTTCCCTATATCCGGTATGTATTGAGATGATGCTTCTTTATATTCAGTTTTTCCATACAGAGCATCATTAGAAAGATTATGATGCTGAGTTGGAATGTGTTTCAAATTTTTTATGTGAATTTCCTCTGTATTTATATCTCCATTTTTTAATAAATACAATTTTTCACTTACGTCACTCTTATTTAATAACTGAGATTTATTACTTATAATTTGTTTTTGATTAGTAGCAATAGAATCTATAAAATTTCCATTTAAAGAACTAGGGATTGTTATTGGTCTTTTAGATAATAATTCACTTGATAACATGGTATAATTAATGCTTCCTACATCAATAGAACCATTTCTTACAGTTTGATGTGTGGCATGTTGTGTGAGATATGATACAGCAGTTTGAGTGGCAGCATCACGAATATCTTGAGGCAGTTCTGATCCAGTTACCGGATACCATCTAATTCTTGGTCCATCTGCTACTAAGCTTCCATTTAGATCACCTTCTTCATAATTTTCATCGAGTAATAAGATGTTTTCATCTCGGGAAGCACTGGAAGTCTGATCTTTTGATGTTTTGCTTTGATACCTTTCTTCGAGATACATGCGAAGGGAAGACATATCTGTTATATTAGGTGGCAGGATGGTTTCTGGAAGTAACATCGGTAAGGATGATGACATTTCTTTTGTGTTAGTGCATAAATCAGATAAACTTTTGCTTAAGTTTGTATTTGGAGAAAATTCTCTATTATCTGAAAATTTTATACCTCTAAGCAGTAACGAACCTGGTAATTCATGTCCAAAATGCCCATTTGTTTTTAATAATACCTGAGGTAATTCAGATTTATTTTGTTCATTTAAATCTTCACTATCTTCAGTACTGCTATATTCAGCTTCTGGTGATAATATATCTGTAACTGGTTGATTCTCATATTCTTTCACATTAGCATGATTAGAATTTTCAATATAGTCCACACTCGAACATTGACTTCTTTGTAAACAGACAGTGACTGATGATATATCTAACGTGGAAGAATCCGATTTAGATTTTAAAAGAGATTTGTCTAAATGCATTAAACCAGAATAAGATGGTACAATTGGTTCACTTAAAGGAGATGAGAGGGATGATCTTCTGTCTGTATCGTCTCCAATTCCGACTTTATTTACCAGTTTTACTGTACTACTTGACGATAAACTATCTGGAGATGACTGACTTCCTACACTTCTTGCTGACAATTGCGCTTGAACTTCTGCATCCCTTGTAATATCTCCCAAATCTGTCTGAATGGCAGCTGAATGACTCGACCTATCAGACATCAATCTCTTTTTATTAGTTTGCTCTTTTTGCAAATGATTCATGCATACCTCTTCATCATTTGATTGAAGAGATACGTTTTTCTTTAATTCTAACATATCTGAATTTAATGAGAAAGGTTTCGTACTATCTGAATTTATTTTTACATCTCTCTTGTAGAAATATTTCTTATATGTATCTTTTATAAAAGTTGATTGTGAAGAAGTTGTTACAGTTTTTAAATTATCCTTGAATGTTGGTATTCCTTCAGGTTCACTCCTGTATGTATTTACAAGTTCATTCTTTTCAGCATTTATTACTGCATTATAACCAATATCTGCACCATTATCCCATTCTAATCTTCTGTTTGAAGATACGCTAGAAATTGATGTTGGCGATATTATTCTGTTATCACTCTGATATCCGGATCTTTCGGAATCTAAGTCATTTGAATCTGTAGACTGGTGACGGTTTTTATATTCGAGACTATTGATAGTTGATAGTTGTTCTGACTGTGCAGATGATAGAAAATAATGATTTTTTAAAGGTAAATATTTGTCATCGTCTCTCGTATTAGCGTGTGAAATTTTTTTTTGATATGTCACTTCTTGAAAACATTCTAACGATGATGGCTCTGAAATGGCTGGACTGGTTACGACGTCGTCTTTATAATCACCGGGAACATTTTCTTCATTCTCGATAGAATTTCCATTTTTAGGCACAACATTGGCATTTAATTTGATATAATTTGAAACATTATGTACATTTTGCAGCTGATTATAAGATTTATTACAATTGTGTAAAAGTTTCTCTCTTTGATTCTTTGCTAAAACTGAACTATTCGTACTATTATCTCTTCTAATAGGTTTTGTCTGTTTGTGGAGAGATTCATCATCACTCAAAGGACTTGTATTGGACGAACTGCTTGTGCTGTCACTATTTGACGAGTAATGCTGCTTATTAATTGTATCTCTTGATAACACATTATTGGGACAGATGTCTGATGACTGCCCCACCAAAGGTGGACGTATTAATCTAAAATCAGTGTTGGCTGTATCAGAATCACTAAAGACATTTGCAGATGTTGCAGGTGATACTGTTTCATCCACAACACTACCAGATTGATCCTGATCATTTTCTTTAGTTCTATCTGCAAAATTATTTGATGTATTAACCATTAAAGCTGCCTTATTATACACGGTGTTCTCAGTATTTTCACTACCCATGGGTTCTCTCCTTTGCTGAGTGACTTTCCAATAAAACTGTGGAGCTTTATTAGTAACAGCTGACTTAGACGGATCAGATATTGGAGATGAACGGTTGTAGTTTTTATTAACAAAACTCTCTTCATTTTGGTTTAAAGAAACTTTACTCAAATTTTCCAAAAGTAATTCTTGATCATATTGAGTATTTTCAAAACATTCATTTATATTTTGATCTGTTTCAGATAAAACATCATCTTGCTCTAACAAAACATAATATTGGCAGTCTTCATTCGGTACATCATCTTTTGCTGTAACTAAAAAATATTTTTCAGGAAGACCACTTTCAACAGTCACCTGTCTATTATCTGGATCAATTTCGGTATCTAAATCTGAAAGTGGATATTGAGAAGGTGGCGATATTTCAGTACAAGTTCTATTTATCGATTCGTAAGCAGTCGAAGAGAGAATATCTTTTTCTTGGTTTGTATTTTCAAAAGAATTAATGCGACCTTCCGAATATTCAATACTTTCAGAATCTAGATGAAGATTATATCTTCCACCAGTTGTGGGTTCGAAGCTTCTTTCACCTTGCAGATTATCTTGCTTATTGGCTTCTGTATTTTGAGTTGAAAACTATAATAATATAATTAAATAAATCTTTAAGTGCATAAATTGTTATATAAATAACCATTTAATTCTTTTATATTAAGTTATTTGAAGTATTATCACTACTGATCAATGACATTTTCTATAAAAAAATTCATTTCTAATTCATGTACAATTGTGTACGTGACAGATTATATCTTACAATTAGTAATAAACTAACAAATTAACTAATAATCTATACATATAAAAATAAAATAATAATTATAATAAAGAATTAAAAATTATTAATGTAATTTTTTAAATTCAAATATACCTAGTGAATTAATTTCGCACTGAACATGCAACCACACGCACAGAGATTTCTGTAATACCATCTGCTCCCATCCCTTTCCAGGAATGGGCACCGATTCCAAAAACAATATACGTGCAGGTTGGCAGATTTTATTATCTGACGGATCAATAAATCTCTTAGAGTTAAGAGTTCACTGGTAAGCTTGTCACTCATTTTACAGAATATTTTTTACTTAGAGTTTATATTGAATATTTTAAACAAATAATAAATGTGTGTTTAACCTCACAATACGATATAGTTTTTGATTTTGATTTTTATTCTGTAGCACGATTTATTATTATTTTTTAGAACACATATTCAAAATTATTACTAGTTAGAATAATAAATTCCATTTTTATATGAATATTTATATTATATTAAACAATTATATTGATTAAAATATGTATTTTGCATGTTCTACGTGATTGCAGTTTTTTGCGTATTATCAGATATTGCATGTTCCTTGTCGCGGTCTTAACCATGTCTCGTCTATCAACCATGGCACGAACAACATTGCGAAACACATCTCCGCTATATTTTCTTTGTTCTTCTAAAGAATCTTTATTCATAAGTCTTTCAATGCTTGTGGCATGTAAACAAAATTCAATTTTGTTTGATAAACATTAGTATATTTTTGGATTAATGACAAACAGAACAGACAGAAGAGAAACTTAAATTATAAAGCCATTAAAATAATATAGAATTTCAAACTAATCTATTCGTAATGTATTAATAAATATTTAACCCATATAATTTTAATACATCAATGTAGATAAATTCCGCTGACACATCACCACTCGGAAAGAATATCAATCATGTATTAAACTTGGCCTTTGCATTTTCTAACATTGATGTATACCAAGAATTCTCTTGATATTTTTAGTTAATATAATACATAATTTGCTATAATTAGTAATATATATTATTTTAAAACAGTTTAAAGAAAAGTAGTTAAAAGTGAGATACTAAACTTCAAATATTAGACACACACCTTTCCGCAATTGAAGTGTTTAATGAATTAATTTCCTAATCTAAATCAATCTTTGAAAGTCGTTTTTCTAATTTTATATGTATATAAGTAATAAACACTATTTCGAAAGTTTTTATATCAGAATTTATGACTATACATTAAAAAAAAGTCATTTAACACTCACAAGTTACAGTAAGTTTAATGACTTCATCGACCAATTCTACTCGTAAAATTCAAAAAAAGAATACCAATGCCAACGCTTTAAAAGAATAAAAAAAAAACTATATTATTGCCCACCCAAATGCAGCATTACGTACCTTTTCAGGAAGCAAACTATGCTAAAAGAAAGTATCGATTAAAAATCGATTATATGTCCGCCATCTGGTATGCGCACAAAAACAAAATTAAGATAAATTTAAACTGACGTAACCTTGAAAGAACGACTTGAGCTTACATTATAAATCAAAACCATATCATGACTCCTTTAAGCCATGGTAAACTTTAGAGTGTTGCTAACTAAAATTATTTCTAAGCCGAGATATTTTTATACGATATTTAAAATTTGACATTTAAGAGAGTATAATGCATTTATTATTATGAAAAAAAAAAAAAAACTATAAAATTAACTTTTTGTTAGTCTGTAACTAATGAAAGAAAGAAATTCATGAATAATTTATACACGAGGAAAGTTTTATCTGATTATCTGCTAATAGCTGAATACAGAAAATGATACACGAACAATCAATTGGAAAAAAAAAACTTATATACATATTTAAGGAAAGTTTGACAGTGAAAAAAATATATTATGCATTTTTTTAATATCATTTAATTATTTTAAAACTTAAATTCATTAATTGTCAATTAACTAAATACAAATTAAATCGCGGTCCTAGTTATAAGTGCACTTGACTCGTTAATTAAATTACAAATTCCGAATTTATCTGTATACATTTTAAAATTTATAATTATTGCAAATTATCATGTTTCTTAAAAGCATTAATTAACATTTTATAGCTTTTAAATTTAAGTTAACTTCAATAATAATAATAATAATGTGAAAAAATTCTTAATATCTTACCCCATTTTCATTGCCCGTTTCTTCCTCTTCCTTATGTTCCATGCTTTTTCATTTCAAATACTTTTTTCCCTAAGTTAAGAAATAATAATAATCATTTCCATTTTACGAAATATATTATTATTATTATTCTCGCAGGCATAAATCATAAATAATGTAAATATATAAGAGATTTCGAACTGAAGAATGAAAAATTAATAATATTCTTTTGCGAAATTTTGATACGTTTAGTTTCCTTGGACTAAAATCGCCCGACCTGAAAATTGATTAAAATACGTTAATAGTAGATTTTGTAAAACGGCTTAAAATTTTCTTTCTAAAAGTTAACGGGCTGCGAAATCTACCAGAAAAATCAATATTTGTCAGTCAATTCAAAATCGTTTCGTTAGAAATTTCGGATTATTTGCGTGATTGATGAGCCGATGAGAATAGTAGGTTTAGTTATGGAAATCAATAGAGTTTCAAATACATATTTCCTTATATCCTACCAGAAATGATAACAATCTATTTTGGAAGAAGTTGAGTAAATATATGAGAGAATTTTTACAAATTATAAAAATAATTCTACTCAAAGTTTATTTTTCTATATAATTAAATAAATAACTCAGTATTAATGGATAATTTTAATTGGTAAATGTACAGGAATAAAATTTTGAAATGTCATTTTACATTATAAGTGTACATAAATGTAATTTAAATACACTTTAATATAATTATAATAAATTGATAGTTAAGTATCACGCTGTTGCAGAATCTGATGTAATGACATTAACTAGAAAATAAACTTAAATGAGTATAGAATAAGATTGTAATGCAAAAAACTTTGGCACTGTAATCATAAAATAAAATTCTTTTTATTAATGTGTTATTTAAACTATACTAATATACCCATACAGAATTTGATGGCCAGATGGCCAAGGCAGTCAGTCAGATCCAATCCCAGATAGTAAACAGACAGACCAAACCCATGTTTTAGGGGTTGGTCTATTCTGAATATATAGGTTCATCTCTGATCATGCAGCTGCTCCCATTGTGGGCCTGATAAATCTCATTTAAAAGGCTATTCTTTCCCACAGTAAGGCAAGAGTATAAAAAACCATAAAAGAATACTAAAATTTTATCTGAAAATCCAATTGAACATGCTCTTAGAGTAAAAACTTTAAGTACGTCTGAATAATACATCAATCCTTAGAGTGAACAAAGGCATTAATGATTAAAAGAAGTTTCTGAATTCTCTATTTGACTCCTAAATCTTTAATGCACATACATCATGGATGGATAGAGTTCTGTACGTTCTAAGAAATATAGTATTGCTCCACAATGATTCATTCATCTCTGCCTTTAGCTTACAAACACTTCTACTACATAATTGTGATACATTAAATATAGAGTGAAAATAAATTACTGTTTATAATATTCTGTAACATTCAAATACAAAGTTCTATAAAATGTCAAAAATCTTTCTTAATTAATACAATAATATATCTAGTATTAAATCTAGGTTTGACTACAGATTATTTGCATAATTTGAGTTTTATTCATCATTCATACTCAATTTGCACCAGACTAGACTTATGTAAACAACAGAATTGAGACCAAATAACTTTCTTATATTAAAAGATTTGGGGGGAAAAAATCCATAATAATCCATCCTACCTTAAAAGAAGCCAATCTCATAAAGTACTAAAACAACAGATTTAGAAATCTCAAGAAAAATTTATGAAATTTTCAAATATTAAAAAAAAAAAAATCCTTCTTGACACTTAAAACTTCAAACCACTTAATTATACTCTATATTCTATTAGACAAGCCAAACTTATATATTACAAAGCCAACATTTGTTAAATTCCTTAACACAAGTTAGATTCAGTCTTCCGATGGTCAACATTTCTCGTAACTTGAAGTGAAATCCATTCTTAAAGTAATATTAAAACGTCACTCTAATCAGAAAAGCTTAAAGCGAATACAAAGCACCAATTAGAAAATCTGACATTCCGTAATACACGACAATGCCTCCTCGACGAAACTTCCTTTTAAACGTAATAAGATAATTGAATTCGGCAGCCGATCGAGACCTTCCGAAACTGCCCGGCGCAAAAGACCGGCAACCCTTCTACGTAATTTTACGACACCACGTACCGACGACATCCGATTAATTATTCATAAATCACTACGAAACAATTTTACGGTAGCGGGCGTATATTCTTTTCTAATCTCTTCTATATTCCTCGAAGACCCGGGACAGTCTGCGAGACCCCGACACCTTCCGCGGTCGCCGAACCTTTAAACGAAAGTCGGATTTAAATCTCCGAACGGACCGTCGAAACTCGGATTCGACGGCACCGAGTTCTCCGAGGCTCGGAACCGAAAAGTAAACAGAATTATCCGCTCGTCGGCTGCGTAAAACGACAAAGAATCCATCTATAAACAGAAAAATAATTAAAAAAAAAAACAAATAACATTACCCGAATATTATTTAAGTGCAAATGCAATAACCGTAGAGAGAGAGAGAAAAAAAAAGGTAATTTCGGTAGCCCATTAACGACACTTAACCAATTTATTTAACTGCAGACTTGCAAATGCTGAAATTATCGACCGTGTTCCATGTTTATATACCAAAGAATTATAATGCACTCGATTGAAGGTCACTGCTCCCTTCCAAGCGTTGTACTTGTCTCGAAATGATTAAATATCGCAATTACCGGAAAATAAATCAATAACAGTTCCACGTCCAAAACTCCCGACTGGTCAACTAACCTAACGGTTATTTCGTTAGGTCTTTAAAGACTTTAGCGCAATTACACGGCTCTTTAAACCATTCTAAAACGTAAATTAGTCTCACCTTTAACGAAAACAACTAAAATTTGACGAAGACATCACTTCTGATTGTTTTCTCTAGAGAAAAAAAATATATATAACCGTTCGGCGAATGCTAAATCGCCATCGCCGTTCTTTACTTCTATTTTTCCAAAACAACCGATGCGCGCCGCCTGTCGGGCGAAGTTGGCAACTTAAAAAATATATACAGTATAAATGAATTGTTACGGACGTTATCGTCTGGCGCCGCCTCTCGGTAGGAATTAAACGGAATCGACACGAATTTTTGTAAATATTTTTTTATCGTCATCGATCTATTTACGAGTGGTAAAGTTCGTGCAGCGTGCGAACAAACTGGATAGATATTAATTTATAAAAATTTAGATTAAAAAAAGAATATTTGTGGAATCATGGTTTGATCAATCGGATGAGTTTTTAATTAAACCGTTAAAATTCTGTTATCGATTAAATCGTTGGGTAATCGAACGATTCGGTTTTGAAATGAACCAATCGGCATCCTCGCTTTTTTTTTTAAAACAAATTTTGAAATTATTTCCCGATTGCGTTTTACGAAAGGATAAAAACATTTTAATTATTAAAATTTAATTACAAAAGTGTGTTTTTGCTTATACGTTTTAATGCCCGTAAAAAAAAAAAATAAAAAAAATACGCTAACAAATATGAACTTTTCTCAACTTTCGCGTGATATTTCCGTGATAAAAACGTGCAAATAAAATGAATACCAGTAAAAAAGGAAAGGGAAAAAATATTTTCCAACTTTATTATTCACTACATACAAATCATTCAATAAACCTAAGCACGTCCTATTGAATACATGTGTAGGAAAGCAGAATATATATATTTTTTTTTTTTTGTTTTAACAATTCCATTGCAGAGTTTGATGGTCCAGAAGACTCGAAGGTGTAACTCTACTATGCGCGAGCTACCAAGTACCCCTGAAAACAACTGATCTGTTTATATGTATATATATATAATTATATAAATGGTAAATTCACAATCTGTAATAATATAAGTGTGTTTGTGTGTATACTGGGGTGCCTGAAACCTACCAACCAAGTTCAACGCTTTATTACAACAGAATGAGGGCTACAACCAGCTGAAACCTGCTTCTGAGACTCATAATACATTCACTGTTTCCCTTTTAACCCTCGGAAACAGAAGAAAGGTGGTGTTTGCATTGTGGTGCATTCCGCATATTTGCAAATTCAAGATACTTTGCGAATATCTTAAAGATGGCATACGCCGAACCATCGCAGACTTGGGAGGAGCTTAATTTGTCTACTGAATTCGAGCTTCGTAGCTCTAGTCTTTCGAAATATTTACTACTACGGAAACGTTCTCTGAAGCACCGCGTCAAAGTTCGGGATGGGATTAAGGAAGATCGAGATAAAAGTTGAGGGTAGTTGTACTTTTAAATGCTAATTTGGTGAGCGAGACTTCTACGTTTTGTTGTTCGGCTGTAATGAACTGTTAAACTTGGTACGTACATCTCGGGTCACCCTGCGTGTGTATGTATGCATATATATATTTATATATATTACAATAACACAAAAATTTTATGAAACAATCTTTCCAGTGGGCTTTAGAAAAGAACCACTTTTTCAACAGAGATTTAAAAAATTGAGATCAAGTTATTATTAAAAAGTATATATATATATGTATGTATATATATATTTTTTTATTTCTCTGGTTGAAATAGTGGATGACATAAAATGAAATTCATTTATATAATTTGCCCATTTTTCATGTTAAAGTACTGTATTATAAATTACAAGAGTTAAAAAAAGCTTTTTTTTTCTTTTTTAATATACTGGTCACAAAAATTTATGTAAATGTATATGTATATGTAAATTACATCAATCTGTTTTTTTTCCTCAAAATTCTGAAAAAGATAAAAGTGGCTGGTAAAAATCTTGGTACTGTACCATTTGTTTTTTATATTTATCTAAGGAACTTGCTGAAAACAACAGAAATTGTTATGTAACTATATAAATAAATTATAGATGGGACTTTCGGGAGAAAGAAAAACCAATTGGCACGCCTTGTACCGACAGACGGGCCATTTTCGATCAAGTACAATATATACAGAGACAGTTTAATATAAGTTAAGAGCATGCCTAACATTTAGTCGTGGAGTTGGAGCACTTCGTATTTTCGCTTGCTGACTCGAGAAGTTATGCTGATAAGAGACGACTTTGTAACCTTTTATGTGACGAGAGTACATTTTCTTTTAAAAGACAACTTTTACGGACACAAATATACTATATTTATACAAGTAATGCAAAGTTTAAACTACACTTTGATGTTAGGGATGTTACGTGGTACCCTAACTCGCATCTCGTGCATGTCATTACTTGTTTTTACTTTATATCTACCTTTACATATCTTAATACCAAAACAATTTATCTTCATCACAAACAAAGCTAATTGCCGACGATATTCTTCATCCTTGTTTTTATTTAGTATTCTTCTTTAATGTAAGTAGTATGTGAGACATTCTGCAGTTTACTTCTCTCATTAGGAAATCCAATATCTGCTGATGTTGTTGATTGTGATTAACGGCCAGCTGAAATATTTTAAATTGAATAAGAATTTGTGAGTTAAAGGAAAAAAAAAATTTTAAGAGCTTTACCACATGTAGCGGCTGTTTGAGAAGTCGTTCCCCCGGCAGCGGCCGAAGACGCCGCCTTTTGTTTCAGCATCGTCCAATCGAACGTATAGTCGTACTGATGATTCAGAGTGCGGAATAGAATTCTGAACAGCTGGCGCAAGTACATGTAGTCTGGTGCTTCCTCAAATCGTAAACCTCGACAGTAGTTAAGATACATGGCAAATTCAGCAGGGAAGCCCTGTAGAGAAAATTTGTAATGTTACAAACAGCAATTTAAATATTAAACTAGTGTTTTTATTCATTAAATTAATGAAAAAAAAGACTAATTATAAAATGCAACATAAAAAGAAAAAAGAAAAAAGCTTCCATTCAAGGTTTTTTTCATATTTACAAATAAGATTATTATTATTATTATTATTATAAAATAATTTAACAACTTTGTGATCAAAGTGAACAACATAAGTAGAAGATATAACAACACAACCTACACAACCTTGAATTTAAGCTTAAAAAAATGCAAAGCAATAAAATATACATTAAAGTAACTATATGTGACCTTTTAAAGTAAGATAATAACTTTATTATACATAATTTAACAAAATAAAATTTTACAATATATAAATGCATTTTGAATTTATTTTTTACTACTATAAAATAAAAAAAAATTTGGTACAAGCTTCATAAATTACCCAGTTATAGGAACAAAAATGGATCGATTGTTTGAATTTGTACTCTTTTTAAAAAACTCTCTCTGAGTTTTCATTTTCTCTGAATGAAAAAAGGCAGCAAGAACTTACCACTCACAACATAATAAATTCAAAATTCCACATTTCTTGGCATTTAAAAAATTCCAGGTCTTGTAAGAGATTCTTTTGTTTTAATATATGTGAATGAAGAGTCATAGGTCAGAAAAATTCCCATTAATGATCCCAGTTTCTAAATTTTGGAAATGCCCTCCATCGAGAAATAAGTACACTTTTCAGATTGAGTCGTTCAAGAAAATTCTTCGTAAACAACACCAAATGTCTATTATATTTCAAGAGATGTCATGTAAGAAAACTATATAAATTCCCTGTTTAAATAGATGTCTGCTAAAAAAACTAATATATGTAAAGATCTTTTAAGTTATACAGAAATCTGATTGCAGTAATAGCAATGACTCACCTTGCAGAGAACTTCGACAGGAGTGGACATTTTTTTTTCGCTAATTTTTTCATATTTTTGTTTTTTTGTTGCCGCTTTGAGTCCTTGCCAGGGAAGACTTCCACGATTAAAATACATGAGAACATATCCGAGTGATTCCATATCATCTCGCCGACTGTAAAGAAAAAGGACAAACTAGTTTAAGAAAAAACACTTAAAACTCTTCATAATTAACCAATAAATCAGAGATTCAATTAAACATGATTTGTATAAGGGATAAAAAATATAAAAGTATACCTTTGTTCTATGCCGAGATGAGCATTAATGCTGGCATATCTAGCAGTGCCTGTTAAATTTTTATCTTCACGATACGGAATGTGTTGTCTTGTGCGACTATCTCTGTATTTTTTAGCTAGGCCAAAATCAATCAGAAATAACTGAAATGAAAAATTTAAATATTAATTTAATCAACAATTTCTATATTAATGACTTGTTCAAATAATTGAACAGCTTATATTAATTAAAGAAATCAATTTTTAATGTTTAGATTAGAAATCAGAATACATTCATTTCCATTTGACATTTTTTAATGCTGTTTACTTTTAATTAAACATGAGTGTAAGTGGCAAAGGGGAGGCAGAAAAGTATTAGTGTGAGAAACATCACCTCTTGTGGTAACGTCCTCGATAAGTTCAAATTCCACTCAGCTAATTCTTCGTCAAATGAAAGTGTATGATTATTTATGACTAGGCAATAAGACATAATACATAAAAGAAACCTGTTTGATCACACAAATAAGAAATGAGCCTGTTCTTAAATTTCAAGTTAATAATTTAAATACATTTTATAAAAATTAGTTAGGACAAATTTAAGAAAAATTCTTAAGTAGGCAATACATACAAATGTGTATTTTAATTTAGTCCTTACATACACACGTGAGGAAAATAACAATTCTACAGTAGAGTCGATCTTTTATTTGAGGCTACTCGTCCATCTCCGTGTGTAAAAAAGTTAAACATAATTTCTCTGGCTCTTAATATTTTAAATTTTAACTGTCAATTTGATCATAAAACTAAAACTTAAACAATTTTATTTTTCATTAATTACAAACAAATTAATTTTATATTGCATGAACTTTTTATATCCATGAGTAAAAATTACAATAGATAATTACATACATATTGGAATTTATTTTGTTCCAAAAACTCAAACTTTGGTGTGGCATAGTAAAGACTATCAATGAGAAAAAAATAATACAAATATTCATCTCAGAGATGACTATTCATGTTATTTTTTCTTTCAGCTAGGGACATTCAGAGAAAGGAGAAGCTAGGGCTATAGCTCTGAGGGCAAAATTGAAATCTGTGTAATTAAGTTCTAATTATGAAGTGTAATAAGCCATTTATATAATTTCAAGTGTATAAAAGAAGGAAAAAAAAAAAAACTGTGATAAACAGTGATGTCAGAAGATTTAGAGTAACTGAGAAGATCCTAGTCCAGGGCCCGTGATTGCTATTCACAGTCCTGAAAACATTTTTCACTTGGTTCTGATATAGATTGGCTTGTTAGGAGAATCCTAGAGTGACATTATACTAAAAGCTGGATCTAAAAGTGACAAAGGAATAGGAATATATTGGTAAATCTATCTTTTTGAGTGCAGAGAACACAAAACAGCTAAGTTTGTAACAAAAATTCTGTTTTAGATGTACTAAAGTAACAGATATGCATGTAATAATGGATGAAAAAATACTTCAAAACTACCATATTTTAAGAAATAAAAGATACATCCCCATTTCTAGACAGAATATTTAGAGAAAATATCTAAGCCAAATTTGGAACTGTCAGTGCCAAAATCTGTGTCTTTGGCAGTCAGTGCCAAATTTGTTTTACTGTATTCTATTTTATTATTTTTTAGTCTTTTGTCCCTGTGGGCACTAAGAAAGTCATTTTAGCAAGCCCATTATAAGTTCAGCCAGACCATGGGGCAGCTGGGTGGTAAGGAACATGGCCAGACATATTTGGAATGGGCCATCTCCAAAAAATTTCTGGGATTTTTCGACCAGTCCAGATTTGAATCCCAGGTCCCCAGAGCAGTAGACTGCCACCTTAACTGTTCAGCTACCTGGCCTTCTATAGTCTGGTTAAAAAACTATAATTAGAAAATGCACACTTTTATTTATCAGAGAAGAAAGGAGTTTAAATGAAGTCATTTATAATTAAAATATTCTACATTAATACAAGAAAAAGCTGCAATATATGGCAAAATCTTTTACGATTAAATACCCGGTAACCATGAATAGCAGTGCACACAATTTGAAGAATTCATAGGCTTAAAGAAAAATTGCAATTTCGCATATAAAAAACAATGATTTTTGAGTCTTTATTTTGACAAAAGTTGCATCACATATGCAATAAAGCACTTTTATCAAATAAAGCACTTCTACTTCAATGAAATGACATGATAAAAAGAATAATACAGTAATTTGTTTTGATTTTCAAAGACTATTATGATTCAGAAATGAAAAATTAAATCTTTACTATAATTATACTATTAAATCTATAATTCTTCAACCTGAAATATAACTCTAAAAGAACTTAATCACCACATTTGATATATTTGAAAACAAAATCAGCATTTTATTAAATAAAGTACTATGTAAAAGTTTTATTTTACTATTTACAATTTTATATCATCATATAAATATATCACATTTAATAATTCTATCCATCTTTATTTTAATTTGTTTATTTTATACATTGATTGAATTTCCAAAAGTTCAAAAAACTTTACTAGATAGCCAGATGAAACAGACGATCAAGATATCAGCCTACTGCTCTTGGAATCTAGGATCAAATCTGAGCAAGCCATCCCAGGAATTTCTCATAGACAGTAAGTCCTTGATATGTTAGGACCCACACATCATCACTCAGTTGTCCCCCATTGTAAGTCATACCAAACCCATGATGGGTATGAAAAAGCACCCATTTAATGTCCACAGGACAGAAAGAGGGCAAAAGAAGAATAAAAATTTTTGTTAGCTAAATTCACCAATTCTGGAACTTCCTATGTGATTAACAAGTACAAAATCAAAACTATAGAAAGCTAAAAAATTATGGTAAGATCTAAATTAAATAATTCAGTGTTAACATGTCTGTGATGATGGCGAAACAGATAAAAATAGAAAAGACTTGCTCAATGAGGTTTGAGTCCAGATTGGATCCATATGAACTTTGTGAATGATCTAGTACCAATGTGTCGAGCCCTACTCAAACGGCTGTCCTATTATTGGCATAACTTCTAATGGCATTTTAAAAACGCAAAAGATTCAATTAGGATAAAGAACCTCATGAAAGATAAACCCAGCCAACTTCTCAATAACTTGAAATACATAAGATCCAAACACTAATCATTGCTGATCAGAACAGATCAGTTAGAGAGGCTTACTTTGTTAACACTTTCACTGCTGTCATTGAAAGAAGGTTTGTCCTTTTTTACACGGTATGTTATACACAGATCATGAATAAGAATTTTTTTATTTTGAGCAATATTTATGGAATTACATGACGACGACACAAAAGTGAATCACCAACACCTACTTGAACACAAAATGTTACATAAAATGTCACAAATCATACAAATAATAAAAATTTTACAAACATTAGTATATAAATTTATACTAATGTTTCTATTTTCTATTTCTATTATTATTTCTATTATTATTATTGAATTTTTTTAATTTAAATATTTTTTAAAATAATTTTTAATTACTCATCAGTTATAATTTCTTTAGTGTGCAGAAATGTAATTCCTACTTGACATCTAATTGACACTAATTAAGATGAAACATGTTAAGAACACAGCTGAGAGTTAATCAATCAGCCCCATAATTTAAACAACAGAAATAAAAATTAAATAATTAGTTAAGTATAATGATAAGCAAAATATTTTATTGCTATTTTGAAGTGCAAGGATTACGGTAAGAGATAAATATAATTATTCCTTTTACCGAAATATTCTAGAAAAACTGTATAATTAATTTTTATCCCTCTTTTCGCTCTGTGGACACTAAGAAAGCTTTTCAATTATGTTCATTGTGGATTTGAAAAGGCTCACAATGAAAGTGGGTGGGTTGCAAGGGGTCCAATATAGCCAAGAGAGACATCCACTAAAAATTCCTGGAGTGGGTTTGATCCCTGGTCCACCAGTGCAATAGGCCAATGTCTTTACTGTCTCAGCCATCCAGCTGTCTAAATAATTAATTTCCTGAGCATTCTAACAAATCAGAAATTGTTGAAACAAATCTGACACCAATTTATTTTATAATTTACTAATTTGCTTTGTTTTCGTCATGTATTTAATTAATGTAAAATTAAAAAGTGAACAAGAAATTTAGGTTAATTTTCTATTGAAAATTTTAATGTCTGTGTTGAGATTTCAGATTGTGCAAGTGACTTATATCAAGAAAATCAAAAAAAAAAAAAAAAAACAATCACTAATCATTTACTCATATCAGATTATTCAGAAATTCTTGTGCATTATACACATTATCCTAGTGTTCAAAGCAAAGTTAACGCTACATAAAAGTCAAATTTACATTTTTGTGTCAGATGAAACCAACTTATTTATATAAATTATAAAGTAGCAGTACAAAAATTTTAAATTACTTGAGTTTAAAATGTACTTAAATCAATTATTTTTCAAACTAGAAATAAAACTATTCCCCAATTTTTCAAATATAGTTTTATTGGGGAAAATCGTATCATATCATACGGTGTGACAAAGTAATATGTTAGTTATGATAAAAGGTTTACCAATAAACTACAATCAAGTTAAATAATCGATTTGATAAACATGAAAAATTCACAAACAAAAAATTTAATAAAGAACAAAAGATTTTTCTTAGAATCAGGGCATTTGCTAAGTTTCTTTTACATAGTTAAGCTATATTTTGAAATTACAAAGCCTTTCTACGCTGAAATATAATAGACAAAAGTCTGATAAAATGTAGCATTATGAACATTCAGTCATATTAATCATTCACAGATAAAACAGAACGAAGCTATCGTGTAAGACTACCAGAAATACAACTCACTAAGTTTATAATGTGTTAGATTTTCTAACAAAGGGCCATCGGAATATACAGCAGAACTTTTATAACTAGTAAAAGTTTTCTATTATAACTATGAAATTTTGTATTTAAGTGTTATATCTTTGTTGGTCATCTCTACATAATATTATATGGTAGAACTACATTTCCACAAATGTAATCTCAACTATGATATTGAATTTAAGGGAAAGCAAATAGTTGGCTGTATGACATTTTTCCAGAAATGAATTAATTCACAAAACTAATGTCTCTGATATATTAACAATAGATTAGATAATTAATTAGTTTATGCATTTTTGTAAGTGGAAAATCTTCTTGTAGCTAATAAATTTTTGCTTACAAGTTTTCAAATACATTAAAAGCATCATTTGTAGATAATTTTGTGTCACATGTCTACAGATACTTGGAAATGTTTATATGTTTTGTCCATGATAACTCGGTAAACTGTAATTATTTATAGTTAAATAAGCAAAATTAATGAACTCTGATGCTTTTAGAAGTAATTAAACATCAATGTTTTATTATTTACAACTAGAAAAGGCATTTAATTTGTATTATCTATTACTAAAGACAGTTATATGAATCTCTACAGAAAATGCATTAGTACATATTCTGATAATGGCTAGAGAAGAGGAATTAATAATTAACTGAAAACAGCAATTGTAGTAGAGTTGAATTCACTTATTATAAACATTAATATGCTTATATGATTCAGTGAAAATTATTACTGAATTAATTAATAATTTGACTGAATATACTTTAACAGACTTAGAGTATGCTTGAACAAATTGATAAAATAATTTTTATCAGATAATTATAAAGATTTATAGAAAAATAAATTAAACTTCTAACATAAATTGAAAATCATTACTCAAACTTTTTTATATTTTAACAAAGATCAATTGTTATTGATTGGATTCTCACATACTCATGACTCATCTAAATTTGTTTATATTGTAAAGTGATAAACAACTTATCAGTCTTCACAGTATGATTAAAAAAATAATGATGTGTATTATTCTGTTAGAAGTTTATAGTCTAATAAAATTTTCATTCTTCTATAAGTTCGAAATATAAATTTAATTATTTAAATTTGTATTTTGAATGCATAAAAAAATACTTTTAACTCTTTATTGTTTGCAAATGATAATTAAGTTTAATTGTAAATAAGTTTTATTTGGTTTTTGACATTTTAAATACCTAATAAAAGTGCATTTAAAGTAGTGGTAATAATAGTAATTATGCTTACCTTGTTACAGTGACGACCGATTCCCATGAGAAAATTATCTGGCTTAATATCTCTATGAATGAAATTTTTTGTATGGACATATTCTATGCGACCGATCATCTACGAGCAGAAAAAAAATAAGCAAAATTGCATATTTGCAGACTCGGATGGGCTTAATTACACTAAAATGCCTTTCAAAAACATATGACTTACTTGATCGGCAAGCATTAAAACGGTTTTCATAGTAAAACGTCTGGAACAAAAGTTAAATAAATCTTCTAAACTAGGTCCTAGAAGATCCATAACAAGTACATTATATTCCCTTTCTTGTCCATACCATCTGTTTGAATAAAAAGTAAAAAATTATATTAGTTAAATTATAAAAAAAAAAAACTAACATAAAAGTCTATAAAAATCTTTATACAATTCTCATCATCAATAAACAGGCTACTTCAGACAGAATATAAATAAAACTACTATAAACAGGAAAGTTTTATGCAGTTTACATTCATAAACCAAGTAATGATAGCATGACCTTCTACCGAAACAGGTTCACTGATCTTGTCGGAGATCTCCAAAAATACGATAAGTAATCATCTTTCTTAAAATATATGTAAATTGTGTGGAACGTTATCAACAGACATTTGAGCTGCCATTACTAGAATGCTTCTAATGTCTTTTCTTATGGGTAAACTATTACAAAAATTTAAAATTTTAAACCATGTACAATACAAGTTATGATGACGGAAATTTTGTATCTACAACTATGAAAAAATACATTAAATTCTTTAAATAAATTAAGCGGTCGACAGAGCCCTCGAGACATACGACAATGTAACAGAATTTTACAATCAAAAACATCTTTGTATCGTTCTCAGATTAGAGAATAATTATTTAAAAGCATTCGACTGAAGAGTAATTGAATTGATAGCGAGCCTTTGTATATATTATACAGCATATTTTTAGCATCAATTATGTTATATAATTAACAGAAGCAAAAAAGTCAGTTAGGAAATGAGATCCTGCCTATGAATAAAATATGGCTGCTGTTAAACTGGTCCAATTTCTAGTTTGTAAAACACACACAGTAGAACATCAATAAATTAACATTAATTATGAAAAAAAGAAACACAATTAAGAGGTGAAAAAACACATTAAAATGTACATCTGCCTGTTTTGCCGGTCAAACTTATGAAAATTTATTTGTTTGTTTCCATGAATAATCATATAAATATATACATATATATATTTTATACTAAATATCGTCTCGTATTTTACCGAATAAAAGTTATAAATATAATTTTTCGGAGTTTGCCGACCTGTTTGAACTCGAAAACCAGTCAAGAAACGACGAAGCACATTTTGATTATTGTTTATCACCGAAGACCGCTTGTATTTTAGACACTATTATCCAAATTTAAATTTATTATCAGCTCTAACTAACTGAAAAATTAGTAATAAAACTTTATAATTTCATTAATGAAAAACTGACAACCTTGAGAAAGTGTTACTATTTATTTTTGGCAGGTTACACTAACCTGTTTGAAACAATTATGCTTTCTCAAGGCTAAATTTGATGACATTTATAATTTAATATATAATTTCTGCAAAATAAATTAATAGTTTACTCCTGAAACTAGAATTTTTGGCCTTTTACAAGCCACCTTTGGGTATAAAATTCATTAAAGATGGCATTTAAAATGGAAATTAAGTTAAGTTATTCCTATGCTAGAATGTATAGCTTTGAACATTTATTAAATAGATTCAGTGTAAAATAAACTTAATTTACAAAAACTAAAAGAAATTTACTACTAAAACCAATAAATAAAATGTACTGAGATGCGATGTGATTACCTTTATCTTTTCACTTCTCTTCCAAGTCATTGCCCATCGCAATTGCTTTGTGTTTGTGTCTTAAACTGTAAAGATACGAACATCTCGACTGCATCATTTTTTAAATAGGTATTCAGAAGAAACAGTAACGAGTGCGAGCAAGCAATCTTTGTTCTGATTTTATGCATCTCCACCCAAAGAAAGAATGAAATGTTATCTTCTTTACAGTTATCTCAAGAAAAGAATTACCAGTTATAACTATTCTTTTGTCAAGAAAAGAGAAAAGTAGACATTTAAATACAGAATTGGGTTGATTTTTTGATATAGACAATCCAGTAATAAGCTAATTAACTGGTAAAACAATCTGTGAAACAACTGAAGCTTGATTTCTCTGAATTTTTTTCTCCCCTTGTAAAGTGTACGAGAACTGGTAACAGGTCACCAGTTTCAATTCTACGATCGTCGATTGCCAGTGGCTATTTGTTGATTATAGCCATTACGTTCCGAGAACCTTACTGGCAATTAAGACGTTTCTACGAGATCTGTAAGGATTTTAAATGCTGTATACTATGAGATGGGTGGGGATTGCTCAGCAAAGGGATGCCAAACAGACGGACCGTCGATAAGTTCGAAATATAAATTTAATTATTTAAATTTGTATTTCGAATGCATAAAAAAATACTTTTAACCCTTTATTGTTTGTAAATGATAATTAAGTTTAATTGTAAAGTAAGTTTTATTTGGTTTTTGACATTTTAAATACCTAATAAAAGTGCATTTAAAGTAGTGGTAATAATAGTAATTATGCTTACCTTGTTACAGTGACGACCGATTCCCATGAGAAAATTATCTGGCTTAATATCTCTATGAATGAAATTTTTTGTATGGACATATTCTATGCGACCGATCATCTATGNACACTAAAAAAGGCAAAGAAAAAAAAAATAATAACCATTTAAACAGCTTGGCACAAGTGAATGCCTCCAATGAAAGGGAAGTTTTTATAAAAGAAACAAATGAATCTCTACATAATCTGCTAGCGTATGACATATTCAAGCTGTAAAAGATCAACAAACGTAGTTAGAAGGTAATATTTAATCCAGTCTGCTTATCTTTATCTACAGACAAAACGCATTTAACGAGAAGATCGTGACTTTAAGAAGCGGAAATGATTAGTATCGAAATTAGAAGAGCTGTTTAGAGCGGTTATTATCTAGAAAACATTTAAAAACGAGGGCACAGGGAAAGTGCGCTGTCCCGAAAAACAACTCAAGTATAAATAAAATCACCCCCCCTTACTGCATCACTGAATTAAAAGCGGTATATAATCCCCCATTTCAGTTTTTTTTTCTTCCCTTCTCTACTTCCACTTTAATTCTGATATTCAATAATGCGTTAAATAAAGAAAAAAGACAAAAGGAAGAACTTATATATAACCTAAATTTTTAAGTTGTAGAAGGAATAAAACAATAGGATATAAAGTTTCCCTTTAAAAAAATCCCTAAATGCATGGTGGATGGGATGTTTTCTGTAGCAATTTCTACCATATTTTATGTTAAAATTAGCTATTTTCGATAGGATATGGGAGGAATTTCATGCCGGTTTGCTTAGAAAGATTCTGAGAAAATTTCCCTTCAACAGGATATATAAAAAAACGTACGTGATGTTGTCTAAGTATGGAGCTTATCAGTGAAATTTTCGAACTGGCAATGGATGCGTGAAGTAAGTCATGGCTTGATGAACATTAAAACTTATTTATTTTATTCTCTTTTTTTTTTTGTATAGTTACAGCAAAGAGAAAGGGGAGGAAAAAGAACACTAGAACGAAGTTCAACGTCTTTAATTACGAAATTCAATGCAAAACGTACGAAGTGAATCAATTTATCAGACGTTGTTATTATGCAGTTTTGCGAGTTGTTTGTATAAAAAAAAAAGGGGGTAAACATTCGTGACGTGACTAAATCGCACGAGAAAGGTTAACTATTTCAAAATCTATAAAGACTACGAAGAGAAAATTAAGAGGAAAGGTTGGTTTGAGGGTTTATGCTTGGATGTACAACTGGTTCACCAGAAAGGAGTACGATTTCTAAGTTAAAATACTACATTTAGCACGATTTTCGTGTTAAAAAACCGAGTTTAAATCGTCTCAAACGAATTAAAATATTAAAATCTTCGAATTTTAAGTCTTTTATCTCGATTAAATGACGAAATATTGCTTCGAATTATAAAGCACGCATCTCAATTATCAGATCTCTAAAGCTATATTAAAGTTCTCTATCAGTAAGGAAGAAAAATAAGGACCTGTTTTTTCTTTTTTTTTAATGTTTGTCCATATCGCTTTCGTCGTAAGAGCAGGATAAAATAATTAAATAATAATGGTAAGTCACGGCTGGGCAAACACGTCATTTTGCCAACATTAAGTGCATGTATAATAATGCAAAGCGAAAGATAATGTACATTCGACACGCAAATTCGAATTTCCGACAAGTTCCGAGTGTTGAATTTCAGCGGTTGATGACATTTGTCGACTGTAAAAATTATTAATCTCACTTTCTGACCTTAAACTAGAACGTTATCCATCCTTAAAGAGGAGGAGAGATCCTCTTATTTTTCCTGAGGTGAATCATTAGTAAATAATGAGGACGTATGACAGAAAAAAAATACAGCCGTTCCTCGGTTTTCTATGACGTTGAGAGCGAAGAAATCCTTTAAAAATTCAAGAAAAAATTAATTATCTAATTGGCATTTTATAAAATTGCGAAACGAGTGAGAGTTTCAAGTTTATGCAAAACACTCTTTCGTCACTTTTACTGACGTATCTAACTGTGAATAGGCGCGTAAACGTTGAAATAACATCAATTTAATGAAGAGGGAAGGCCGAAATGAAAGTATTAAAGCTAATTAACAAGACGAAATGGGTGATACGTTCCGTTCTTCACGCAATCAATACAAGTTAAAAAAGAAAAAAAAAAAGAAGAGGGGTAGTGTTTGCTACTGTGCAACACAGGGCAAACCCACACACACATCTGTGACCCGTACATGCCATTTCCGAACAGTTTAGATTAACAAATACATCAATCTAACCGATTCACCCGACACGATCGATGTTCCGCAGCGATACACCTTATAAACACAGTTCTTTTTGTGTGTAATTAAAGAAGAAGAAGAAAAAATACAATTTCGGTCTTACTTTCGATCGAAAGAAGAAAAAATCGTTACGAGACACACAGACAAATACACCGTGGGGTTTTTTCGTGACTCGATTTCTGTCTCACTTTAATAAGATCCCCGAAAACAGCGTGCGGATCTAGCAAAAGAATCCATTGTTTTCGATACCTGTTAAACCAGATTTTGGACTGTTTAGGAAGCAGAATTTAACTCAATTAAAGTTAGAAACAAGAGAAAATGATATTTGCGAAGGGGTTGGAGAAACAGAGCATAGGTTGAAGTGCACAAAACAACTAAATCGTGTCTATAAAGCTCTTGGAGGTCACCGTACAACAATGC